TCCGAGGAAACGTTGAAATGAAATCCGTAGAATTAAAGTTTTAATGGAAAAGTTAACAAGCGCAGTATCGTGAAAGTACACAGAAGAAAATACTGGAATAAAGTAAACGCAATTACTTGTTTTCCAACCTCTTAAATCAAATAATATTGTTCTCAATTTAAGTATGTTTTAATAGCTTGTAGTAAATATTTATTTGAACGCGGTAATACTTTAATTTATAAATGAATTATTGAATGTAAATATAAAATGATTCTAAAATTAAAAGAATATTTACTAAAATTACATGATTTTTACTGAAATTACACGTATAAATGTCTTTTCCATCGAAGAAACCTAGTGATTTTTAATTTAAATTTAAATTTTTTTGCTCAGTGTCAATATTTTCTACAAATAAATTCTGATATTCTCGATATTACGAATTGAATACTTACTTATCGCAATTGTTTTAACACATACAAGTAAATGTCTACTTACACGAAGGAAATATCATATTGAGTATAATAAATTATATTTCTACTTCTAGTAAATATTTGTTACGGATTATTGGAATAACCATTTTACTTGGATCAAGTAAATACTGCTTGAACGGTGACACTTTTCCTCAGTGTAAGTTTTTGCCAGTTCACAGGCTATTTAACCAAAAGTAACTACCCCTAAGAGCATCAAAGTAGCATCAAAATTTCCACTCGAGATTTCCGTGTATTTTCGCGCGTGTTCACGCGTCGCTGCCGCTCGTTTCGTCGCGCGCTATTGAACTCCAGTGTTCAAGATAAATTTAATATTCGTCATTCGACATGTGTTCATTCCTGTCATATTATTAAAGTCAAAACGACCGCGAAACGGTAACGACCGGCCCGTAAATCTCTATCTATCTCTTCTACAGCACGAGCTGCATGTGTGCACAACTGACCTGTCAATTTACCCGCGAAAGGAACCGCTGCGGTTTGCGGCGATATCCGTCGTTTCGTTCGACGGACAAGGTAGCCGTAGCGGGTACGACCGAACGAGCGAGCCCTGTCATTTCGACGTTACGAGCGCGATTCGCTGAAGAATCGTCTCGTCGGATACCTCACAAATCAGTGACCAAAAGCCGACTTCAAGTTTCGATCCTGTATAAAATCCTTTAATTGTACAATACACAATAGGAGTGAAGATAGCAAAATAATTTCATGTCCAGTTTTAATAATATAGTTCCAATCCTAACAATATAAAAAAATCCAAATTTTAATAATATAATTTACTCGTACTTTGACCCCAGTGATATATTAAATTTCTGTTTTCACTGTTTTAGCGTCAAAATAAATTGTTAATTAATAAGTATCGTTTAAGTTGTTTGTTTTTATTAGTCTACGTAGAGAAAAGATTTCTTTGGATTTAGTAAAATTCTTTTAATTGAAACAAATTTGTCATTTGGTATGGAATAAACAAACGAATGTTTGACTCAACAGGATTATTTTAGTTCCTCAAGCAGTAAATATCTTTACGTCAAAGACACATTTCTTTTTTTATTTTCATCCAAACATTACAATGCTTATCGCAAGCAACAAATTATTTGAAAGAATTAACGCTATGTTAGAAAAATATTAAAGAATTTCTTTGTTTCAGTGGAACAACGTTTGATATATAATAAAATAAATTTCTTTCATTGAAAACCGAATATTATTTCCTCTAAAAAAAATATTATTTTTCTTTTATCAAATAATAAGATTTACTCTAACGAAACATCGTTTTCATTCAAACAAAATGATATGTGATATTAAACCACGTTTGTTTATACTAAACAAACGCGTATACTAAATCCGAAGAAACCTTCTTCTCTGCGTATAGGCCACCTGAGTAAGCGCAAACGATCCTTAAAAACATCCGAGTAGCATCGAAATTTCCATCTGGAATGTTTCCGCACAGGCGGATTACGCACGTACGCGCTTGATGCGCATTTTCTTCGCATCGCCAATCGTAACCGAACTAACCGTTAAGGCTTGATGGTTATCGGTCGCGGAAGAGACAGCGATCGCGGCCGATTACGAACAGATAATGGCGGGCACACGTTGCTTACGAGACGACGTAATCTGCAGCGTCGTCGCGTTTACGTTTGCGTTACGTTTAGCGAGAGGCGACGCTGTGCGCAATGACGACAGCGGCGGTGTCCCCCACTGTAATAATGTCTCGCGAATTACGAAAGCCAGAAAAGTATACACACACACACACACACACACGTGCGTATCGCGTATCCGTCGTGTGTATTAAACGCGCTGTGACCTTCTTTCGAAATGACAGCGCTCGCGATCGAGGATCGCTACGTAAGGACGTATGTAGATACGCGCGCTTTAAGTATCGCACGCTGAATGCTAAGGTCGTCGATTCGCTGGACTCTCTCTCGCCGTTTTCGCCTTTTTCTCGCCCGGCTGTGTTTACGTTCGCGAGATCAATCGGTCGGGGTTTTCACCGGCTGCCCCGATATGTGGTTTCTTGCTTGATTCACGCGCGCTTCGCCGCGGGATCGAACGCGAAACAGCGGCGAGCGCAGTTGTACGCAATTATTACCTGCGCGCACCCGCGCAGGCCGTCCTCGTACCATTGATAACAATAACAACAGAACGGAGCTGTTCGATTACAACGCGTCGTTATCGTTGCCGACGCGGTGACGACGACGACTTTTTACGGACTCAACGGTATAGAACGCACGGCGATACGCCAAAATAATTGCGACGGCGACAAACAGCCGAAATCGTGTGATTGAATTGTGACGCAAAACGTAAACGTACGAACGTAAAATTCTGAATCGAAATTGCAATTCTACCTTAATTAAGCTAATTGCGCACATATTTCTTTCTGGCATCTTTGGCTTACTTAAAGTTTGTTAAAGCGCTAACGAAGATCTGTAAGAAATCATGAATATACTTCGAAGTCTGTAGAACGGAATTACGTGAAGGAATGGTCGTAAATGTTCACGTAAATATTTCATTTTATCGAAAGTAGAGAAACGCGAATTGACTGGGACCCGCGAATCGCCCGTAATGCCCGCGGTGTGCACGATTAGGGTTAAGTCTACTTGGTTCTGCATTAAGTCTCCCGATGGAGAAAACGGCGATAACCTTCCATTGGTGGCGTCAAAGGAGCACGAAGATGCCCCTTTGAAAAGACTCGATATAGACTAACGTAGACTCACCGGGCTTAATGTGGAACGAAAATTCCGACTCGGGGATTATTCTTCTCGAAATATTCGCAGGTCCCGACGACGAGAATGAATTTCGGCTTACCTCTCGGGGCCCTCGAATGCATGGAGACGTCGTTTTCCGGAAACCCGTCAACATTTCGCGGTAGGATGCGTTTCGGCGGAGGAGGTTCGGTGGCAGGACAATCGATTTACGTCGGGAGACAGCCCGAACGGCTAGTATATCCCTCTCTATAAGCAGGTAGTCGACGTTTTGTTTTCTCCCATCGTTTCGTAGAGACGAACATGCGAGCGCGCGCGCGCCGACGAGCACGTGAAGAAACGTTGAACGGTAGGAGACTGCGCGCGGGATGCAAGTCCGAACAAGTCCGAGGGATGCGTATATATGCGCGGACCGTGTGAAGTTGGCTCGATTCGAAGCCGGGACCGTCCGAAAGCGACCAATCCCGACCCACCGTTTCGATAATCGAGCATTTTCAAGCTTATCGATCAAGGGGGAACAGAGAGATCGTTAAAATGTCTCCCGGTTTTCCTCGCAGCACTCCGACCTGGCGTCGTAAAAACGCGAAACGATGTAGGTGGACCACGTTCGAGATTCAACGGAAGGGCAGGGAAGGACGAGCGAGGGAAAAATAAGAGTAAAACGCGGAGCAATGCGGATAATAACGGGCCCCCGGATAGAGAGAGAACGTCGTCGAACGATGAGATCGTAAAATCCGTCGCTGCGTCGCACGCATGAAGAGAGCGACTGCTCCCGTGCGTACGATCGTTCACGGTCCAGCGTGCGCATAACTAATGGCCGAGGCGATACTGAAATTAAGCCCGATGCCCCCTTCATTGAGTGGTGGACCCCTCGACCGAACCGTCGACGATTCATCAGCCACGTAGCAGGCGAATACCCTCGCGATCGACCAAGCGTTGCGTCGTCCTAGCGACGACATTCGCGAGCGTCCACAATGCGGACGGACACTTTCCGGCGAAAACTCACACGAGAACGCGAGGTGGTTTACGTACCGCCGGTACGAACAATGGAGCACGCTCTCTTACGAGGTGAGCTTGCCTAAGGGTGCCGTTCAACGAGACGTGTCGGAGACGCGGGAGGAGGTTAACGCGCGCGGACGATCGTCGCGACGAACGACCACTCACCTGTCTCGAGCTGTGATCCACGCCGCGACCCCCGGCCTCGACGCGTCCAGCCAGACGGGAGGAGAGTAAAGCACCGAAAAAAAGAACCGGACGGCGGAAAACTCAACGACGGACGGGACGAACACAACACACGCACACGTCACAAAACAGACTGGAGCTCGCCGAGCTCCGCTGCTCCGAGCCCGCCGGAGCTCGCCGAGGTGTCGCCATCTGCCGGCGGCGCGCCAGCACTCGCGCCGCTCGTGGCGGAACTTTCGAACGCCGGCTACGACGAGGTAGGTATAACTGTGGCTAATTAACGGTTTCAGTAACATCAGTCGAAGCTTAAACTGAGTTTAAGTCTTTTTCTAAAGAAACTTAAATTAAGATCTCATCGACACTGGTGAAATCGATCTAAACTCAAGTTTCATCGACACTGGTGAAATCGGCATAATTCCGGATCTATAAGTTAGATTAGCCTTTTGCTTGCAATAACATGTAACGTAATTTCTGCCGAAAGGCGTTTCCCAGACTTCCGTAAATTATAATAAGGTTTAAATCGCAGGAATTGAAAAGTTTGCTGGCGCTGGAAACGCTTTTTGCTGGAAATTACATTGCAACTTAGCGCTTCGAACAAGAGGTTAGAAATTTATTATATGTATTGTAGAGGTTAGAAATTTATTATATGTATTGTAGATTTAACCTAAAGGTGACTTTCGTTAAACTTCGATTAAATTAATCGATGAATAATAATAAGGATTGTTAACACTGATTTGCGGATTTTATTAACGTGCCGTTCAACAATAATCGTAAAATTAATAATTTCTATCTGCGTTAGCGAAATGGAGCAGACAATATCTGACTGACAGTAATTTTAAATCGATGATCAGATTAATCAGAATTTGGTGAAGGTCACCCTAAAACTTGTAACACTTTTTTTTTATGAGTTTCGTAACATATTCCATGTCCAATGTGAGAAGTTGTTTTTTAATCATTCTCGAGAGATACATTCTCCTATTGGATGCGAGATACGTTGCAAAACTTATCGAAAACAAAATGTTGCATCCTTCAATCTGCCGGCTGTATGCATAACATTGATGTAAATTTCGGCTTTACAATAAATTTATTAGCTTTTATCGGCATTCGGGATTTGAAAATGATTTATGCAATCAGAATTCTCGAGAGATCGCATTTTGAACTTTCCAGTTTGAAGTTAAGCTCGAACAGTTTATCTGAACCAGATTCAAGCTAACTTCGAATTAATTTAAATATTCAAACGATTCAAACCGTTGGAATCTTAGACTAGCTTCGGTGTGATCTTTTTCGAAACGTTCGATGATTGTTAGCTGGAACGTGATATTTGCGATATTACCTGCGAAATAACCACGATTTGCGGTAAATATCGACGCCTGATTAAGGAGACCAGTCTCTCTCTTCCTATCTTTCTCATAACTGTTAATTTATTATTTCCTTCGTCGATCACAAGAATAGAGATTTAAATAGAATTTAATTGGCAAAACAATCTTTGGTAGCTACGCGTAAGTATCTCTCTCTCTAACAACGGGATTAAATTAGAAAATAAATATGCGGGATCACGTGTGTTAACGCTCAGTAATTTGCAGAGACGCCTGAGACACTGCATAATCACGACCGCCTTTTTGTATATACATATGTAAGTGATAACATAACGATGGCTTTCGTCACTTCAAGGTATGCCACACGGTGACGAGTTTCCGCGGATTTTGCAGCACAGAGAACCAATGCAGTCTTTCGGTCGAACCCCGGACGCCTTTTCCAAGCGCTACCTTGCCGATGAACACATCGGCCGACTTCCTGAATGAGCTCACCGAATCCTCGCTGTCGCTCGCGTGATCGGTGCTGATGTTAGCGGTTGATCCCTCTGGTAAGACCTGAAAACGCAAAAAACAATATTTGGCGAAATGTAGTTTCAACGTCATCATCGTTGAAAAAGGATATTCTTGATCGAATCTCTATAATTGCGAGAAAATTATCACGTACGCGAGGACAAATTGCTACATTCGAAAGGACGGAATTGCAATTAGTTCTCGTAAATCGTGCAACTTACCTTGCTGCAAAGCACAACCAGGAATTGGACGGTATCGAGTTGGGTGACTGCCAAATCGAAAGTCAAAGTCTCGTTGAATTCCGGCTGCGCGACGGCGTGCAGGAATTTAGTTTTCTTCTTCTTCATCTTCTTGCCCGTTCTTCCGTTCAACATCAGCACTCTAACGTACGGGTCTACGACCGAGAGAGTGACGAATAAAACGACCGATCGAAGAATTCCTTCCGCAAAGCGGACGCCCGGAGATCGACGATCGATACTTACTGAATTCTTCCAGACTCGATACCGCCGGTGTGAATTTGACGTCGCGTAGCTTCATGATGTTGATAGTCAGTCTCTGCGCGGTGGGCAAGTAACTTATGGCCAGTAAGATGTTACCGAACTCCTGGAAGGTGGTATGGATTCAATTCATTATGAGTAGTACGAGACCAATCAACAATTACGTCACGCTAAATTTGAGTGTTTCTCCCCCTTCGTTACAATTTCGTCGCAAAGTATTTGCCTTCTTCCTATATCACGTGACATGTAGAATTACCCCCCTCGCTGATACATAGATGTAAAAAATAGCTTTTAATTGTATCGTGTATAATAATTATTATACTTCACGGTACTATCTTTTTCTAAGATAGAAATATAATATAGAAATATAATAAGTATAACATTAAATTAAGGGGGATTTATTTTCTAATTTAGTAAAATAATTGATAAGAAATTGGTAAAATTATTAATTGGTAACGAATGATCGGTGTGAACATGGCTCAATACCGATGCGTTAATTATCACGTTACCTGACTGGAGGGTTTCATTCGGTAATTGAACATGTGGACCTCCGGGCTGTAGAAAATCTTCTTCGTGTCTCTTAACGACATCTTGAGCGAGCACAGTTCCGTGTGATTCGCGTATCTATCGTGATCGTACACCGCGATATCCAAGATCCAATCCTGCGGAAAACGAACGGAGTCAGAGGGAGGAGGGGGGGGGGGGGGGGGAAAAANGAATCGCTCAATCGCACCTGCGGCGAGCGATACCGCTTGCAACGCGGTACGGCCTGCCTGCATGTCAAATCACATCCGTTGACGCAGCGAACGGAGATGCGCCAGGCTTTTAAATCAGATATATTCCGCTCGCGGCCGCGTCGCGAGTGGAAAAGAGAGAACACCGATTTGCGCGTGACGAAACCGCGTATTTCGATTTGAATCAATCGCGCCATGTCTCTGACTCACGTCTTCTTTCCAGCGTGCGCAATACGGCGATGAAACAGGACCTCTCAGACGCTCACCTTAGCTTCCTGCGAGCGCACGTTCGCAATAACGAAAGTCTCCTTATATATCGGACTGGCGGTGTGCCTGATGCCCCTCGTCCTGAAACTGTGCAACTTCTGCCGCTTCCTGTGGCTCCACGATTGCCTCACGATGTTCAACGCCACGTAAGGCTCCAGCGTGCAGTTGTACTGCTTCGGCGGAAGGCCGCACAGCGCCTGTAAAACAGGTGCGCGTTTCCGTTGCGTGATTCCGCGCGATCCAGGATGCATAGGCACGCCGGTGGCGTTTATTTGCGCCATTAGAGAGAGGATATCTCCCCCTTCTTTCGATAAAGCGACGTAACGAAATGTATTGATCGCCAATCGAACTCACCTCGATACCGATAACGAGCTTCCCGGTGATAACGTCGTCGCAGGGCGGCAGATACTGCAGGCTCATCGTCAGCTCGGTTGGAAACTCCTGCGTCTTCTTGTTCTGACTCTTCTCCTTCCCCGTCTGGATCAAATTCTGCAAGTTTCGGAGATAAATTCGCGCGATCGGGCGTGAAGCGAAATTTGAAGGAAGAAAGGAAGGGAGAGGAAGCGAGATGCGTTCTCTGTGTAAACGCCGATAGTTACCAGTGTGGAAGAGCACTCCACGTTCTCGCATTGCGCGGTGGCGGAGTTGAACGAGTCCCTCGAAGTCCCCGCGTTCTCGCTGATGGTACCTGCGCATTATATTCCGCCTTATTGCTTGACGGATGATTTTGCGATCTCGTCGATTCATAGATTATCTGAATTGTTGGGAGCTTGCGAAAGTTCGTCGGATCGATCGTCGATAATCTCACTGGCTTGAAAGTCGAATCATTTTCGAGAGAGGAAGTCAGATGATTGAGGAAACCAGAGAAGTTGAAAATTGAAACCAGTGAGAAAGACAGACTGTAAGAGCCCTCGTCGAACATTGGGTGCAATAATTTCAGTTGCAGCGGAAGGATAAAATATTTCCCGACGATGCAACGCACGCGCGCGCGCCAGACTTCTTTCCCGAATTTTTCAATGCGCGTATAGTAACCGCTTTCCACGTGGAACCGACCTTCTTTAATCCAAGATTAATTATTTCCCTTTCAAAATTCCTCCGGACTTTACGGCGGGTGCTGTGATAAATACTGTCTCAGCTATGAGAAAATCGGAAACTTAGAGAAATAAATTACCTAACTTAATTAAATTTAATTAATTATGTTTCGCGTTTTTTGCGTATTTTCTGTTAATAAACGTAAATAAATAACGATGGCGGCTACGACTGAACATGATACATTGTTTCGTTAATATCGTTAAAAGAGACGCGGTAAAAAAAAAATTCAGCGAACTTTTGCACTCTCTGTGATGTCAAAGCGAATGATGTTACCATTGTCGTTCTCATAGAGGCTGCCCAGTCTCCACGACCTATAGCTGACGTCGCTCAGCTTCAAGTTCTCCTTCTCCTGATTCTTCGTCCGCAGAGGTACATTCTTGACCTCCTTTCCTGCACAAAATCCATTTCAAGGCTATCGTAGCCATTTTCGCGATCCTTGAGTTCGCAGCGAACTGTAGCGGCGCTCCCGCGCGTCCTTCGCCGCGCCACCGACTTGCATATTTTTCGTTTTCGGCTTGTTATCACTTTTCCACGGTATATATTCAGAAATTTACGACGAGAGGCCACGTTCGAGCGTATTCGCTGCGTTTTAAATGCTGATTGGGCAATCGCGAGTTTCGCCGAGAAGGCTACGGTCGCTAACCGAACGCATCGTTGTGCAACGACCGCGTAACGCGCGCCGCGTGCGTTAAATTTAACTCCGTATAATTTCCGTTCTCTTCTCTCCTTCTTTCGTTTTTCGCACGCATACAGTCTCTCCAGAGATGCACTTTACCTAGGTTTGAAGTGTGATATAACGTCGTTTGGGCGTTTCCTCGCAATATTATCGGAAAGTTATGTATTGTGTTTGCCAGTTGACGTGCCTAATTACGTAACGCGGCGAAGGAAGCGAAGGAAACGTCATTAGATGCATGTGTGTCATGCGACGTAAACGCAAAGGCGTAATCCGCGCACGGCTCGCCAGCAAAATTCTCTCCTCGTTACCGGCGAATCCGTAACGAACGTTGAGAGGATGAGGATTTCAAACTATAGTCATTTTTGGCCTTAACAGCATCTGTTTTGATTCAAATTCAAAAAATATAGTAGCAGCAATGGGCGTGTAAAGTTTTTATCGCTGACATTGTAGTAACATCCATTAGAAAAATCATATTCCCGACTATAATTCTTTTACTTATGCAATTATATATGCAGAGGAAAAGATTATTGTACTATGAAGAAAAGCGAACTTTATTACTTATTAAACTCGGTTTACTCATCTTCTTTTAAGTAATGGTTAACTTGAACGAAGAATATTCTCCTGATAACAGCGTTGAAAATATACTCGTCACAAATATTAGAAAAGCTCATTATTATATATTCAAAAGAAGAATCTGTTCTCTTTTTAAAAATACTATAAACTTCATTGAAGGAAAGTTAAATTCCCGACCAATTCGAACATAAATAAACCGAAGTTTTAATTTCAGCGCTTTAATTTAATATTCTCGATTGAAGTCTACCAATCTTACCTGGATTCCGAACATACTTTGAATAAATCTGACGCTTGTGATCAACTTATGATATACTCGTGGATACATAAACTCGCGAAATACCTGAATGCGGTATGTATGTTCTGTGTGTTACAAACACCAGAAATTCTCCCGCCGAGAAAAAAAAGACATCATTTCTGGAGCCCAAGAAAGCGATCTCGCCGCAATTCCGAGAGATTATCGCGGAGGCGTCGATCGTTTCGCGTTCCTCGCGGTCGAGGCGCACGTGCATGACAGAGTCGGGCCGACGGACGGACAGACAGACTCGACGTGTCGTATATACGTGACTGGAAATTGCGACGTGAAATCGACACGTCCCCACCGGCATCGGTGTCAAGTACTTCGTGCCGTGAAATAACGCGACCGCCCGATCGGCGCCAATTAATCGCGTTAACCGTCGACTTTTGAACTCTCGACTTACGCCTTCCCGAAGATCGCGGCGCCGCGCGCCAGTGCGAGAATAATTGCGCGCACGCGGACGCACACGCGCTTAATATATACGGATGGAGCAATTAAAGCGGTAATGATGATCTTACTTCGTTTCCTGAAGCATTCGTAGCCGATGCAGCCGGGCGTGAGGAAGCAGGCGAAGATGAGCAGCGCGATCAGGATAAGTCCCACTCCGATCACGATTATAACTAGCGGGCCCCACGGGCCGAACAGGTTGTCGTAAAACATTCACTGGAATCACACGTTCAAGGTTACTACCGGCGGTATCACATGGACGACGCGGACGACCGGCGCTCCGGACGAAGGCTCCTCGTCGAGCTGGGAATACACTTTGGCGGGTGGGAGACACGAAGGAGGCTGTGCAACCACCATTGACTCATGGATCTTTGATCGTCCGAGGCTCGGACGAGTCGGAGGACAGGAAGGCGTCGGCTTGGGTTTTCAGGTTTGAGGAGAAACTTGAAAAAAGAGGAAGAAGAAGGAAAGTCGAGAGAAGAAGAAGAAGAAGGAGAAGAAGGGCTGTCTAAGTTTCTTGGAGTGGAATCTCACTCAAAGCGAGTGGAAAACGGCAGTATTTTCCCCTTGAAGCGATAAATAAGATACCGCCACTCGAAATCGTAGGAGCGAGTGTCTCCACTCGAGCTTAGAGTGGATTATGTCTTCATACGAGTGAATGTTTCAGCCGAAAAAATTTGAGTGAACTCGTTCCCGTGACGGTGGAATCCGTCGGATTTGCTCTTCAGTTACGAGCGAGAACGTTCACTCGACGACTCGAAGTAGAGAGTTCGCTCTAAACGAGCGAGAAAAATCGCTCAAATCCGATCCGGTGGTCGCTCCACCCTTCAAGTGGAATTCCACTCCGAGAAATTTAGAGAGCAGGGAAAAGAGGAAGTACGCGGGTGAAGCTTGCACAAACTTCGTCGAAATTTGTGCGATCGCGAGACGTCGTTCGGGAGACGATCGGCCGATCGTGCGGCGCGGGAGTGGCGAGGAAACGCGTATTCCCGTCGTCGTCGTCGTGTTCTTCTTCTTCTTCCTTCATAATGGAAACGTCGATTACTCACGTCCGACGACTCGTCACATTCGTTCCCGCACATCTGCCGACGTGTTTCTTGCGACATAGGGGCGTGAAAAATAAGCCGCGTTAGCGTACACCGACCGGCGATGAGTAGAAAACACTTGTGTCACCAACTGTTCGTTCGCGGCTACCGCACGATACAGCCGGCGTAGCCGGACGATAACGAGCGGGACGATAAGAAAACACCGTCGAACCGAATTAGAATATGCGCCCGTTTCTCTTCGGCCGCCACGCGCAGCCTCGATCGGAAGAGCGAAGGTTAAGAGGAAGATGAAAAAATAAACGACGGGATCTAATTAATATTAACGTATTAATATATACGAAACGGAAAAAAACAACGTTGCTGGCGTTACTGAATTTTTCTACGCCTGGGGGCCGAATGAAGACTCGGTTTTAGGGACGGGAAAGATTCCTGGAGGAAGTTTCCGCTCAGTCGATTGCTCTCAGTTGTCTGAGCCGAGTTTGAATGCAACTGAATGTTCACACGAATGTTTTCCGTCGTGGTAACAGAGATATCGCTTCTCGTCACCGAGTTTTCATTCCTCCGTCCGTCACTGGCTTCCCGTCTGGTCCCTGTTCGGTCGCAGATACTGAATTTTTCTTCGAACGAAGAGACGAACGTTCTCAACCGCCGCAACAGAGATATTATTTCTCGTCACCGAATTTTCATCTGATCCCTACTCAATTGCAAGAACTGGAGCTGGTATTCCGCGCAGAGAGGAACATCCCTGAGCATTCTCCGAGAGAGAAAAAGAGAGAGAGAGAGAGAGATATATAGGAGAGACTTGTTGCACCTTCGTGAAATTCAACTTCGAAGCGCATCTGTTCGAACGCCACGTATTCTTCGGCAAACGTTGCTTGACGCGCGTCGAGGGCACGCGACATTCGACATCGATTGATCTTCGCGTCCGTTAACGACTCGCCCGCGGCGACTCCGACGCTTTGGTTTTCGCGTTATCACTGTCGGCTAGTTGCTGCGTACATTCGCGCGGTCGCGCAGGTGATACACGCGCAGGAATAACAAGTTTATGCACACAGCGGGGCGAAGTCACGTCCTCTGACGTTGGCGAGCGGCGCGCGAGAATCAGAGGCGGTAATGTTTCGAGAGCTGTTGTCACGAGAGCGACCGTCCCGATAATAAATACAGTATGCGTCGTGTATGTCCCTCTCGTTACCATCGCAGCTGATGGGCGCTCACGCGGGGGTTCACGCGGCAGGGGAAGGGGGGGAAAGCACCGATTTCGACAATGTCTCGACACATACCGATACATACCGAGCGCATTGTCCGAAATCGAGCCACGTGACCTCGGCGAGGAAGCTGATGCTTCCACCGAAGCGTCACCGGATGCGCCGCGCCGAACGCATCGTCGACCTTGGTAACACTTCGCTCTTATTCCGCAGCTCCTCGCGACGGAGGGAACCTCCTGCCGGCGGTAAACAAACGGGACGTCACTTGCCGGAGGCCGAGAAGAGCCTTGAGTACGGACGATCGGGCCGCCGAATCAGCGGACGACGAGCACTCCCGTTTTCATTCCTTCGTACCTGCGAGCACCGGCTCGTCGTTCACTCGGCCACGTTGCAGGCCCATGGCAGCGGCGGCAGGTGAACGCGTCCGCACTGACGCGGATTCCCCGACCGCGCCTCCTCGGCCCGGTAGCCGATTAACCGATCGAATGCGAGCGCACACGCGGACCCCGCAAGAAGCAACGAGCCGGCAGCTCGCCTCCGGTCCGGCGAACAAATGGCAAAACGTACGAAGAAGAGCGTCGGCGACGTAGGTGCGCGTACGGACGGACGTACCTACGTACGACGGCAGGCTCTCCCCCCCCCCCCCCCCCCCCCCCCCNCGCGTACGGACGGACGTACCTACGTACGACGGCAGGCTCTCCCCCCCCCCCCTCGTCCCCCCCGCGGACGCTTCTACGCCTCTGACTATCCTGCCGGTAGTTCGCGGGTAGATGAGTAATACCTCGATGCATTGGCGGCCTCGATCGGGGATCCTCCTCCGGGGGGCCCGTGGCCGCCGGTCGCGCTTCTCCGCGTTTCTCCGGCCCCGCCGACAGTTCTCCGGGCTATTAGCCTGCTCTCGCTCGCGGCGTTCGCGACGACTGCGCTAATCACGCGCATTAATTCGCGTTCGGGAGGAAGTATGCGCGCACGCCTATGCGCTCGGCGGTAGCGTGGCTTTAGAAGGACAGGAGTGCGGACGTGGTGTGTCCGATTGTGCGCGCATGTGTGTGTGTACAAGGAAACCACGTGTTATCGCTGATACCGCACAGCAGAGCGCGTGCATGCGTAATGAGCGCGCGTTTCGCCACGGGACTTGGCTGTTGATGAAAACGTGTGGACGCGTTGACGAAAACCGCGGAGGATCACGCGGAGGAGGGTGTGCAGATCCTTCGGACTGGCGACCGATTTCTCCTCGGCGGGAGTGATTTTCGCGTCACGAGCGATCGACGAGCGAAGGACTTCGACCGGGATTGAACCTCCGGGAAACCGAATGAAACGCGGTCTTGATATCAGGCTTGAGTTCAGGCTGGTTTCGATGGGATTTTTGTTCCGGGGGCTTCGGTAAAATTATGTACGTTCGTGGAAATTGGAAAGTCGCGACAAACGGCGACGCTCGGTCGAGGTTCTCGCGTTCGGAGGAGGTGAACTTTGAATTGGTCGAAGTAGTTCGTCGTCGAGAGATCGTGGAGAGAGAAAACGGCCTTCTCGGGTCATTCTGTAGCTTTTACGATCGATCGTCGGAAATATTTTATTTTCCATCTCATTATTGCGTACATTGGAGAGAGATTTTTCGCATTCAATAAAACTTCTTTCATTGGAACAAGTTTGTCTTTTAAAATGGAGCAGTCAAGCGAATGTTTGATCCGATAAACAGGACCAGTTTGGTTTCTCGAACAATAAATATCTTTACGTCAAACAACATATTTTTTTTTGTATTTTCACCCGAACGTCACAACGATTGTCGCAGGCAATAAATTATTTGAAAGAAGTAACCGTGTTAGGAAAATATTAAAGAACTTCTTTGCTTCAGTGGAACAATATTTAATATATAATGAAATAAATTTTCTTCGTCGAAAAGCAAATATTATTTCCTCTAATACTGTTTTTCCTATCAAACAACATTGTTTACTCTAATGAAACAACAATATTTTCACTCAAACAAAATGATGTTTGATAATAAATTGTCATTTGTACTAAACAAATCCAAGTCAAGTAAACACGTGTACTAAATCCAAGGAAATCTTTTTCTGCAGCTACAACTTTGTCGCGCTGAGCAATTTATTTTGCCGCGTTGCAATTTTACGTAAAAATTTTGCCTCGGATCTTTCAAAGAGGTTTCTCGTGAGAGAGAGAGAGAGAGAGAGAGAAAGAGAGAGATAGAGAGAGGAAAAGAAAAAGAGAGATCCCGCAAATAAGTGTTACGTGTAATTATAATCCGGAGATTTACAGTTAAATTAGACTCTCAGCCCGGCCGTTCGCGTTACCGTTGTTATTCCGTTCGATCGAGCTGCGGATAATAAACGGACACGGTTACGGGGAAATAAACGAACGGCATAACTAACTGTTATTGCGAAAGACGTCAATCTACGTTTCTGCGTGCACGCGCCCGCCCATGCGTGTGCATGTGCGCGCGCGCGTGCGCGCTCCACCGGCGAAGTACAAGAGTTTCCCTTTCATTATGCGGCGGGACCGAGCGAGCGTGTAATTCGTCTTGTCATTTTCCGGTGCTATTTTCTAACAGCGGCTCTTCTAAACGCGCTCGCGTGTGACACGCGCGAGATGACCCCCGGACGCACTCTCCGCCGTCGTCGTCGATTGTCGATCGTCGATCACAGATCAGTGGCGCGAGGCCGCCCAGCTTTTCCATCTTTCTCGATATTACGATTGCATCAGTCTCATTATTCAAACGCGTCACATTGTCCAAAACACGTCAATCTCGCGCGACGACGACGAGGAGACGACGAGCAAAGAGTAAGGAGAAAATCACGTTGATGCTCGCGCGAGAGAGGAAGAGGGGAAAGAGAAAAAGAGAAAGAGAGAGAGAGAGAGAGAGTGAGACGTCCGACGTGGACGTATCGGCACTTCTTTAGCCGCGAATGACCTCGATCCCCAATCCGTCTCTCTCCTTTCACTTCAAAAGTGCTCCGCGAGCTTCCCTTCTCGTGCCATCGAAGACACGCGCGTGCACATTTCATAACGTGACGGTGTCCAGTCCGCCCTAGAACGTCGATCGACGTGCTGTTCTCCGAGTTGCCCCGGTCCACCTGGATTTCACTTTCTCACGTAAGTTCCCGGGTGGAGAACGGATGCGCGCGCGCCTCTTCGCCGTTTCGCGCGCGTTTCGCCGCTTAGCGAACTTTCCTCGCTTTCGAAATCGCCGATCTCGGCGAGTTCCCGACGAGGATCCTCGGCCGTCATCGAGAAACGGCGCGGGTGTTCTCTTCTTCGCGTTTTCCTCGGGAAAAGGATCGACCTCCGCCCGTGAAAAATCGACGATCGACGGAATTCAAGAGCGCGCGCGATCTCTCGCTCTTTAGATTTCACTTTCGCGCGACCGGACTCGGTGCACTTGGCCGGAATTGCTCCGGATTAATGTGAGAAACAAAGTAAGAGCGCGAGTGAAGGAGAAATGCGACGGCAGCGGACGAGATAGCACTCGTGGCGGAGAACTTGGCGGGGAGACTTGTGCGACCGTGGAATATAATACCGTTAGCGCATCTTAACGGGATCACCGCCTACCGAATTTCTCGTCTCCGCCCCACGTGTGACGAAACCGTTGAATCCGGCCGATCGGCGTTGACTTTCGTTTTAATCCCCATTCGTCCGACGTTGCAGAACACGCGGGAGAAGGCGAGTGTCATGCGTCTCTGGGACATAAGCGACCTTTGAACGGGCTGAGATTTCCCTCTCGACGATGACGTCGATCGTGAGGACCGCGATCATGTCGCCGCCGCTGCTGCTGCTGCTACTGCTTCTCCGCGACCGTGAGTGTCAATTCTTTCGCGCGTTCACGCTCGAAATGCGAGCAAGATGAAGATCGCGGGAGCGGCTCTTCTCGCCGAGGTGAAATCGCGCCGAGATGCGCTTCCGACGATTCGCGGATTGCAGTAATAATGCCGAATTCCATGCGTGCGATTGTGTGACTGTGCGGTCGGAGGAAAATTCAATTCCTGCAACCGAATAGGGTTCAGATGAAAAGTCGGTGGGAAGAAAGCATTCGTCTGTACGTTTAATCGTATTAAAAGTTGATTGACTTGATAACTGAGAACAATCAGCCGAGTAGATATCTTCTACACGACGAGAAAAGGATTAGTTCAATTAACGTCACAATGAACGAAACGTTAGAGGGAAACATAATTTTCAGTTCCAAGAACCGAATATGGTTCGTAATTGCCGGAAATTCCGTTTCCTTTCCATCAAAACGCGTTCGATCTTCTTTCATCATCATGTTAATTCAATCGGTCTATTTTCCCTGTTTGCGAAAATTCTTTCCGAAATTTCTGTCTGGTCCCTATTCTCCCCAGGTAACGGAAAATTTACACGCATGGAATTGCTTTTTTCTATTACACGGAGAAAGCTCGGTTTCTGCGGTTGAACAGGAACCAGATAAAAACTCGGTGACAAAAAATGGTATCTCCGTTACACCAACTGAGAACATTTCGTGCGAACGTTCGGTTCATTAAAACTCGGTTGTGAAAACTGCGAGCAAACCAGAAAGAACAGAAAATGACGGCGTGAAAATGACGTCAAAATGATAAAGAAAAAAATGATGGAAAAATAAATTTTATAATTTTCTCGTCATTTTGCCGTCATTGTCATCTGTCCTACCTGGGAACTGACTGAGTGGAGACCTCCTCCAGGAATCCCTCTGTTCCTGCAACCTGCCTTTAGTCCCCCGGAAAATTCAGTCGTACCGACGGAACTGTTTTTTCCGCGTACATTATATCAAAACGAATGACACGTCGAAACTTCGCAGACGCGACGGCCCTGATTATACCGGAAGAGCTGCCGACGATACTTTCCCTCATCTACTCGAATATACCACCGATCAAGAAAGGAACCGACTCCAGAGTCGGCGTGGGTTTCCGTCTGGGCGAGCACGCTGATTTCCAAGTCCTCATCGAGCTGGGTCCGCAGACTGACACGGGCCCGATAGGTACCGCCGACTCCAAGAGGAAGAGAGACGTAAGTGGTTTTCATTTCGACGGGTTCCATCGAAAGCGTAACTCGCCGTGATATACGTGTTAATTAAGAGGAGAAACACCAATCGTTTTGCTAATAGGCGATGTTGAGCGCCGCGATGAGAGGGGAATTAGGACCGTTAGCGCAAGCGGTGGCCAAATACCAAATGGAGCGTAAAATGCGAGACGAGATGGAGAAACTCAAGTCGACGGGGGAGGAGTTCGGGAAGATCCAAGCCGTGAATAAGACGAACGATCAAAATGTAAATTTGCCCTAGGAATTGCCTTTGTCTTCGTTTCGATTTCTGTCGATTTTCCATCGATATCGACGAAGCTACTTTGATACTCCTCTCTCACCAGGTCGTTCCCGACAATTGGCTGGCGAGATGGCGGCAGGAGATATCGCAATCGCCGGAGGACAAGGTGCCATTAAGCCCGGTTCAAGATCAAAACGATCGAGAGGCCCAACGAAGGATGGGAAAGCCGCCGGTTAAATCCGCTGTGGGAGGAAACAAACTGGAGGAACTGACGAAGTTGTACGAACCACGAAACACCAGCAACGCCGGAAACGCGGCGTGAATGCGGCGTACTGATGTAAATAGCATTCGAGAATGTTGTATAAATAGCGCGTCTTAGTTTCCTTTTTGTTACATTTATCACACCGACCTCGCGGCAATAAAATCCGCGTGTACAGATTATTAGACGAGTCATCAAAGTCATATCTCTCCCTCTTTCTCTCTCTCTCTCTCTCTCTCCCACCTGTATTTTCTTTGTAGCTTCAAGAGTGCACAGTATGCATCTTTCTGCATAAAAGATGCGCCGTTGGATTTGAAATTCAAATTTAAATGCGTGCCATCTTCTTCAATTTGTAATTCTAGCCGTGACGCCGTCTGGCCTCGGCGGGGCGCGACAGGTCACTTGGCGCCATCTGCCGGCGTTGCGCTGAATTACTTCACCCGCCAGCGGGCAACGGACGCTATCTAGCGGCGTGCGTGATTAAGTTGCTAGCGAGTCGCACGAATTCTAATGACGATTTTCAATTGCACCGCATTCGTATATTCGATTCGCACGCAGGAGACCAAGTGGAACAGAAAATGACGATGATGTCAAAATGACGACAAAATCACTATAAAGCCCACTTCTCGGTCACTTTTCCATCATTTTGTCATTTTTCCTTCCACTTGGCTCGCTCGTTCAGTTTACCGCGCTCAGTTGAGTTCGGAACAAGGCTGATACACCCTACTGTCTCGATGAGGACGCGCGCGTAGTTGTCCCGGCGCACGACGCGCGGCGTTCGCGCGGCCGGCTTTGCGCGCGTCCGCCTGCCTCCTCCTCTCTTTCCTTCTTGCGGCGGTCGCTGTCAGAAAACCGCCGACGCGAGGTGAATCCGGTCGTTCGTGTCGTGCGCGTCCTCGATCGCGTCCCACACACACACACACACACATACGCACGCTACGCGTGAGTGCATGCGCGATAAAAGCGGATCGCTGCTGCTCCGGGCTGACGGAATTTTGACAGCGCGTTCTCGCCTACCGTCTCCCGACGCGCGGCAATCATGGACGAGAAGCGAAATAATCGCGAGGTTATGACGGTGCTGTTCCTGTGCGTGCTGTGGTACGCGATATCCAGCAGCAGCAACGTCGTCGGCAAGATGCTGCTGTCGGTGTTCCCGTACCCGATCACGGTGACGATGGTGCAGCTAACCTCGATCACCATCTACTCCGGCCCGTTCTTCAATCTGTGGGGCGTCCGCAGGTACACGTCCAACATCACTTGGAGCTATTACATGCGGCTGATCGTGCCCTTGGCGCTGGGCAAATTCCTCGCGAGCGTGTTCAGCCACGTCAGCATCTGGAAGGTGCCAGTCTCCTATGCTCATACTGGTATGTGAAGCTTCTGTCAGATTAGATATTAAAGGCCAACGACGGGGAATTCGGTCACCCGCGTCACACCGGATTGATGCTGCGGTCTGCTCTATACACGAAGCGGTCATTTAAGTAAGAAAAGATTATGCGAACATTTGAAGTCGTGATAATGACACATTGTCGCGTTACTCAGCGTGATATCTATTAATTATTTCGTCGTCAAAGTGACATTGTGTTTCGAAACTTCAGCGGCCTTTAGTATGCATCAATTCGGGGTAAAGCGGGTGATCGAAAAGTGACTCACTGAACTCGGATTAATCCGACCGACGATCTCAAATTGGCGTCAGTTAAGTGTAACCTGCTCTATCTTGTTAACGTGGAAATAATTAACTGTTCGATTATCGTTGAAGGACAAATTATAGAAATGGAAATTAGTGTTTTGACGATTCTTATTATTATTCATCGATCAGTTTAAATTTTAAGCGTGACTCTCGCCAAACTTCGATTAAGCAAATCGATGATTTTAAGTTGTCAGCCAAATGTTATCTGCTCTATATTTCGCTGACGTAGATGAGGATTATTTGCTTTTCGACTATTGTTGAACTACATGTTACCTGGACATTTGCGTTGGCAATTCTTGTTATTCATCGATTAGTTTAACCTGAGGTTGGTGAAAGTCAACCCGACGATGAAGGTCGAAAGTCAACGAATCGACTGATCTCGGCTCGCTTTTGTCCCGAATGCCGGTCTTTCATCCGCAATCCTCGATCTCCGATACCTACTGACTTTCACCAAACTCTGAACTAATCGACGAATAATAATAAGAATTGCCAGCATCGGTTTCCAATTCCGCTGCAACTCATTCAATAGTCAAAAAGTTAGTGATTTCCATTTGTGTCAGCGAAATAGAGCAGGTAACACTTGAGACTGGTAGCAATTTGAAATCGTCGATTAGCTTGATCGGACTTCCGTGAAAGTCATCCTTAAACTGTCAACGCGTCTCTCGACGTGGTAGAGTGTGACACGTGTGTGTCGCCGCGTGTTCCCAGAAATAAAACGCGCCGGTGGAACGCGTCAACAGTGAAATCGTACACGGGAAAAAATGAAGTATCAATTCTAGATTTATTAGGTTTCTAACGGACGCCATTATTATTTCGTATAAATATTGTTTCATATATAATCCTCTTATTGCCTCAATTTTGAAAGAAGACGAAGAAATTGTTGTTATAAAAACTTCCAATAATACAATTTAATATTATAAAATGCTTTTTCCACGAATAAAATATATTCAAATAAAGATAATACAATATCAAATTAAAGAAATAATACAACATGCACATGTTGAGAATACGGATTTTCTCAAAACAAAAATATCCTTTTCTTCTGTGCATCAGTATGCTTGTTCCGATTAACTCTTAACAACGACGATATTGTTACGTTATCATTCAGCCTCCTTCCTTCACATATTACGTGACTCAAACGCAACGACGCGTAATTACAACGTTATCAACATTAGAATGTTAAATATAATGGAAAATAGCGTTTCGCCTATGCACGAGGTTTTTATCGATCATGAAACACCTTTTGTGTCCGGAGATGATAACATTCTTGCGACTGGAGACGCTAAAGAAGCATCCGATAGCTCCGATTGTGACAACGACGCGCTCGCGTTTCGAGTTACGCTCTATCGCCTCTTGGCACAAGGTGTCACATCGCTTGAATGCAATCTGTTGAAAATACACACTGCATTCGATTTAATATTACTTGTTCTAAGAATATTTTATAAGTTCATACATTTGCAAGTATATCACAAGTTCGTCAGAAGCATCAAATTTATTCAAAATGTATTCTGAATCCTAAGTAAGTTCAGTACTTCAATCAAGAATATTAAACTGCTAAAACTGCAAATTCGATTTACTTATTCAAATTAACCGAATTTAATTTTCCTTCGATAAAGTTGATAATATTCTTGAAAAAAGAACAGATTTTTCTAACACTATGTTGGAAAAATATTAAACAACTTCTTTGTTTCAAACCCAAGTCAGACAGACACATATGTTAAGTTCGAAAAAACATTTTCTCCGTGTTATTGTATCATTCTCTAAATTGAAACCTTCTATTATTATTCGGGTTTTAACTTTCCACATAAGGTCGGAACAATCATCAATATTAAAGTTATTATAATCTTACCATTATAACTAATATTACTACTACAATATTCATCCTCATGCGTTATATATACAATTGTGTGACTTTCCGTCTAGGAAATGGTATAGCACACATGACGTCGCCTGTGCGACGAGTGTCCACGAAAAATTTGCATCGGTATCGGAACTGCGTTGCTGGGGAGATATATTGTATCGACGTCACGACACGGAAGATAGATCGGCTGCTTCGTAACAGCTGATCGATTTTGTCGAGATCAATTTGTCATGAAGTAATTTAGTGCCTCGGTTGTTTCGTGTTTCGTTTTCCTCTTGGAGGAATCGAAAGGCGAGGACAGGTCTCGCTAGACGTATACCCGGCACGAGCGCCGTCCATGATTCTATTTTAGCCTTATATATTAACGGAAGTTTGGCTCTGTCCCAGTGAAGGCTACAATGCCCCTCTTCACGGTAATCCTGTCGAGAATTATACTGCGGGAACAACAAACGTGGAAGGTCTACCTAAGCCTGGTACCGATAGTCGGGGGCGTCGCAATCGCCACGCTCACGGAACTTAGTTTCAACATGGTCGGTCTGATAAGCGCCTTGCTGTCCACCATGGCGTTCTCCTTGCAGAACATCTACTCCAAAAAGGTATTTAGGCCGCGAAATCATCGAGCCGCAAATTGATTTTACTCCAGCCGGTATCTTAATTGTATCGCCGATACAGGCCGTATCTTCAATCTTCGTTTCTTTCAGTATGCGAACGTATGTGCACGATATGCAAAAGTATGCACGCCTTTTTTTTACTTATGATAAACAAGCCTTATCAGACAGCGCAAACTTTGAAAAGATGTGTTAAAGATGTTTAAATAACGTTATATGTTTCTCAGACGTTTTTAAAACATTCTTAGAACGTTTCTTGGAGATTTTTGCTCTGTGGGATTCGTTAGCGTTTCGTGAAAGCTTGCTCATTGTTCCTTCGTATCGAAAGAAACGATTTGCAAGAGAAATCGAGATACGTCGTTCGGGGATAATAAAAATGACGCATGTAATCGATCGAGCACTTTTGTCAATTATTGCGAAAACTTTCCGTTTGTTCTGACTTTATTATTTGTTACGATCAATAACTGTAAAATTAACGTGACATGCAACCTTTCCCTTTAACCTATTTTTTCTCAAGATGATATCACGTTAATTTTACGGCTACTTTTTGATTGTTGGAGTAAGAGGAAAGTTTTCTTAGGCACGTGTTTTTTCGCTTCTGACGTTACCAAACAAAACTATGAGACCAAGAACCTTAAACCCTTTAAGCCCCAACCATCACAATCATGATAGTAAATTTCTCGCATAAGAAAAATATTTTTTCCGCGATTTTTCCCTCTAAGATCTCAAGGTAGTTTTGAGAACAAAATGACACTTAGAAAACATTTCTAAACAAAAGATTTCTCGGGTTTTAAAGGGCTAATCGGGGTTTGGCGGAAATCATTCTAAGCGTCTAAACGTAACACCGTATTCTTCATTTTCTCAGGTGCTACACGACACGGGAGTGCATCATCTGCGACTGCTGCACATACTCGGCCGGCTGGCTCTCTTCATGTTCCTACCGTTTTGGCTGTTGTATGACCTGCGCAGTTTAGTGTACGATCCGCAGACGAATACGTATGTGGAGATGAGCTATCACACGGTAGGACTGTTATTTTTAGACGGTGTACTGAACTGGCTGCAAAACATAATCGCGTTCTCCGTGTTGTCCATCGTGACTCCTCTGACGTACGCGGTGGCGAGCGCGAGTAAACGTATATCCGTGATTGCGGTGACATTGTTTGTGCTGGGCAATCCGGTCACGTGGCTGAATATATTCGGCATGACTATGGCGATCCTCGGTGTATTGTGTTACAATAAGGCCAAGTATGACCAGAGGGTAGAGAAACAGAAGACCACGACCCTACCTAAGTATTATAGCTCGCTTCACAACGGTAATAACAATTCTTTCGTAGTAAACGGATACGTTGACAAGAAGCATCAGTTATACTCGGTCTAGTCTCAATTAATTGCTTTCCCGTCTTTGACAAGTTCACGTGAGTTTTCTCTCAACACGTCGCCGAGAGGTCCGACCCTTTTTTTCCTTTTTTTCGCGATTCGTGAATCAATTACACTTCTGAAAGATAAGGTATCTGGGAAAAATTTTTTCATACATATATAATTGGATAAAATTATATATATAATTATGTAGGATGCCTTATATAGGGTTCCTTAAGTACCTTAAGTACCTTAAGTCTCTTAAGTAGCCATACTTAAGGGGATGATTCTTTGGTATATTTCAAGTAAAAAAGCTCATACAAACATATGTTCAGGAAAATGTAAATGTCACGCAGGTTTTAGGATATTTTATTGAAACTTGGTGTAAGCTTATAACACATCAGGGGTGATATTTCAAATATACATTAGCTGAAAGAAGCAAAAATCAGAAATAAAATAATTAAACGAATTGTTGAAAACGGCCACTTTCCGCCAAGATTCGGTCCTCCTTCTCAAAGATTGATGTACACGCTCAAAGATGTCAGGTATGTTGAAGAACTGAAGCCTGTTTTTGTATTCTTTACTGCTGTTTTTGTTTTTGTCACTGGCGCTTCAGATAGATTATTACCACACGTTTATATTTTTTTTAAAACACCCTATATTTCGGAAGTTTGTATGAACTTTTTTACTTATTATTTTTATATATATTTTACTTTTTATATATNTACCACCTTTGTGACATTCTCCGTGACATTTCAGTCGGCCGGATACAAAGAAGAGGCTCATATGGACAAAACTACCGATATGTATATTTATATGTATATATATATGTATATATATATATACATATATATATATATGTACATAATTATTTATATATGTGTACATTTGACTTGTAAATGCTGCAGATAAGGGTGATTTACATTCTTCGAGTTTAGCACGAGAGTAACTCGTCGTCACCGCCGCTGAATTCTGTATTTTCGTATCGACGGTCGTCGCACGACGAGAGACGCTCTGTTTTATATATTCGAGCCGTGAGTTCAGTTCGATCCCTGGAAAAACCGTGCCTGCTGGTAAGGTGTGACTCGAAATCACAGTTTCTTAACACAGCTGATTGCTGGCCCGATCAGCTTTATAGCCGGTGATTAATAGCAGCCAGTCGGCAATCTGTCTACATTCCTCGGGATATCACCCTGATTGCTGACGTTATCGTGGCGTATTGTTGATTTTTCACGCTCAAAACCGTCTCCGCGTGTCCGACGCGTCAACGACACTCGTCGAGGTGTGGCGTCATCGGGTGCGTTGCGCGAGGTACGTTGTGCACCGTCTAAATTGTTAAACCGACGGCGCCACGGAAAACACGAACTGAGAAAGAAGAGCGGTTGGATTGACAAAATTATCCTCGTTCAAAAAAAAAATATATATATATTGCGTCCGCCGAACAAATTAGTCGGCGCAATAATACGTTGCATCGACACGTTTGCCGGCCAAATCGTGATCGTCGGAACAATCGATTGCTGCATCGCAGCAATTGTACACAATCTGTTCAACGGACTGGACGTTGCGCTTGAAAGAATTTTGTTCATTTAAACGAAATCTCGTCGATCCTACCACTTTTTTCCCCCTCAGTGCGCGTACCGCGCTCCTTCGAGTCGGACGGATTTACAATTTCGGCTGCGTCGATGCCGTCCGATGCCCATTTACAAAGTATCGAAGCATATTAAAGACGGTTCTTCAAATTTCTTTTTTAGAAAACAGAAAGTGAAGCAAATTAACGAAGACGACCAAAGCGGGATCGATACTGTTTTTGTCGTGACTTTAACGTTCTTGATACCGTTGCAGTTGATTGCAACCGCACCGACGCTTCGAACTCTTATCTCGTCACCCTTTTAGTTTCCGGCTTAGAGCGAAACAGTTTTATTGCATTTTCAACTATGAAGGTGAGAAGATACGTTTCTCCTGATTGAAACGTCTCGGACGAGATCAACGCGGCCAATTGTGTAGATTTCAGACTCGGGTTTTTCGATTTGATTTGTACTTCCTGAACTATTAGCTGAGGAAAAGAGAGAAAGGTAGAGAGAGAGAGAGAGAGAGAGAGAGAGAGAGAGAGAGAGAAATGAAAATTTCGGCATGTTTTACGTGATGACGTTGTACACGAGTGCGCGCGAGTCGAATCGAGCGCGGGGGTTTGCGTGGGAGTGTTGTGTGCGTGCGTGTGTGTGCCGTGCGTGCCGTATGAGTGAGACTCGTGTGCAGGAGAGCGTGTTCTAGCTGAAACCAATCTATACATTTATTTTTATAAATAAAATACACGTGTGTACAAAAATATATCGGAAGCGTTCGCTGTCGTTCGACCCATGTGTCATCGACGCTCTCGTATAAGTAAAAGACTGTAGCCGCTCTTTGAGCGGTATTCATAGTCTGACCCAGGTTCTTCGTCTCGAGTTTATCGCAAGATCCCGAGTAGCCGATATAAAAATCGCGCTTACGGCACCTTGAAACAAATTCAAGACGACTTTAAGTATAATAATATATATATGTGATAGTATAATTAATATAATTAAATACAAAATAATAATAATAATAATAATATAACACAATTCCTTACATTTCGATTTTTATTTATTTATTTATCTAATGTAATTTATTCCCACCTATATATATATATATATATATATATATATATATATAAATAATTCTTGAGATTAATTTTTCTGCTCGAAAATAAAGGATTTTTCAATCTAGCTCTGAAATAGTTTGCGATTACGATCGNAATATAACACAATTCCTTACATTTCGATTTTTATTTATTTATTTATCTAATGTAATTTATTCCCACCTATATATATATATATATATATATATATATATATATAAATAATGTATCTGTTGTATATTTATTGATAGCCGCACGTTCCCTATCTTCACAACCCTAATGTGTAAAATTTTATCGAGTTTGTTTCCTTCATCTATGATTTTTCGGTAACTCATGTACACTAAAGGGTCTCCCCGTAAACAAAGATTATTATTATTATTATTAATATTATATTAAACATAAGATCGGACTCTATGAATACCGCTGTTCGAGTAACGACGAGGCGTTTTCGTTCTCGGAACGGAGACGGGGCCGAGTCGCGCTCTCGCCGGTGCCTACAAAGTCTTGACGATGTTCTGCGGCGACAGGGGCCTCGCTACCGTCAGGTCGAGACGCGGCCCGGCCGCTGCGATCAACGGCACCGCCAGGCAGCAGTCGCAGTCCTCCGTGCTGGCTTCGTTGACGCGCAGGATCCTGTCGTACGGCCGCAGAACGCCGTCGCAGGGTCCGCCGGGCCGCAATCGGTTTATGTAAACACCACGCTCGTACAAACCGTCCGACACTGAGAAGCCGAAGTCCTCGTAGACCGGGTCCTTGTGTAACGACACGTGCACTATCTGCTGAGCCCTGTTGTCGGAACCGTTGCGTTCTTGCGGTCTGAGTTCCCGGGCACAAAGAGAAGGAAAAGGCGATATATTGGAAGCGGCGCGAAGAGGTGAAAAAAATGACCAAATCTAAAAACTGGTTCAGCAACACCGCGGTTCGGCAAGCCACGTTTGTGTGAGCGTTATAAAATCGATGCGATAACTCTTATCGTAACGTTGACGCTTTATACCGTATCAGCAATTACGTTGTAACTACGTGTGGCGTGGTCGTAAAGATGTATAATTGTCGTGACTATAGTCGCGCGATATGTGGAATCAGTAGTTGACATGAAAAGCTATTTAACTACGGTACTTACTACGGTACCTTAACTAGGGTCGTTAACAAGTGGTTCAAACATCGAGGATTATCAATTCGGCTTTGTGCTGATCACACGAACGTAGACTGTGGCACAATCGGGTGTTGCTGAACTGGTTTTCAGCCACTGTGTAAACTTAGTTATTGACTGTCGATTAAACCCCGATCATTACCCCGGATAAGAAGGCATCGACAGATCCAGCTGCCCGCTGTCGACGGAGGCGGTGTCCCAGAGTCTCAATATTTCCGGCACGGTGCCGCTGCCCTCTCCCAATTCGCCCCAGGAGTCCACCGCGCTGTCCACGCTGGGTAGACTCTCTCTGGCCGAACGCAATGCACCGCTGGAGAATTGCGGCTGAACCGTGTCGCTCCCTACACTGGACTCCCTGCAATAATTCCTGTGAGATTCCCTTCTTCATGCCAACACGCGATCACCACACACACACATACACACACACACACTCTCTCGCTCGCAGTGAAAACGCTCTTTAACCCATTAAAGGTCGTACTTATTTTATGACGTCCGTAAATAAAAGATCGATCGGTTTCATTCATACCGGTCTCTCAAGGAAACACTGCCAGCTCGAACTCTTCGATTCGGATGGACTCTTGTATGTAGAATGGCTTTCAAGATGAGAATTATTTCAGAGTTGATATTATTTATTATTATTGTTATATTACATTATTATTTTTAATATTATTTAATTGAAAATTAGGTGGCTAAGAACATCACAATGATATTATGCATTAATCGTGTGATTTTATCCAATATAAATAAAAGCTTGTCATAAATCGGACGTTTGTGACTTTTCATAAATCTGGCCGTTAATGGGTTAAATGCATATTTCTGCTAAGTACGTTCTCGTCGCGTACCTTGTTTCTGGATTAGGATCCGGCTTCCTAACGGTCAATGCGACGACCGAGCTGCCGGGTCGGTGCAACAATTGAGCGGCTTGGCGCAGGTCACCGGGGTCCAGTTTTTGCCCGTCGATCGCGAGTAACCTGTCGCCAGGTGCCAAGCTACCTGTTCTGTAAGCGAGCGAGCCTCGACGGACCTCCGTGATCACCAGGTCCTCGTTCACCGTGAGACCTAGATCAGGCTGGCCGCCGAGCGGCCTCGCCACTCTCACGGTAAACACCCCGGAGCTCGGCACCACCGGTCCACCCACTTTGTACTCTATCACCAGCTCGACCTACAACGCGCGTACCGAAGAAGAACAGAGGGAAGCTAGAGGTCCTCAAGTAAGGATCTGGATATCTCCGATTTCTTATTGAGTCTTAGTCCATTTGATCCAAGGTGGCAGAACTGAGGATTGTCAGATAATGGGACTTTCTATTTGTAACTAAACTTATTCCACGAAGTTATTCTACGGAAGGGGGCGGGATAAATAATAATAAAATAATGGAGAAAATGAATCGTTAAGAAATTGAAAGATCTGTTTTTATCAATATTATCGTAATACACAAGGGGCCGTTCAATTACGTTACGTGAAATTTGTTATATTTTATCGCCAAGTATTTGCCTTCTTTCAATATTACGCGTAGAATTATTCGCCGACACATAAAAGGAAAAATAGCTTATAACCATATTATGGATAATAATTATTAAACTTCACGCTACACCTTTTTCTAAAATACAAGTCACTTTTAGGTCACTTTTAATTTTTAGATAATATCAAATTAATTACTTTATTTTCTAATTTTGATCGGTGAAAGTTGTGTCTTTGAAAGGACAAATATTTAGAAATTCAAATCCTTATTATCAGCACAGAAACATGTCAAAACTTACAATGTTCACGAAATGTAACCAAGTGTGTTACGAAAGCGAACAAACAGTGGATAACCACGCGTATCCACGTCTACAAATTATGCTATCTAATATTGCCGCTGTATGGCCTTTCCCTTCCTTTTATCATCACGCAAGTCAATAGACTCCCTCGTGGGACGTAATTATTGAATGGCCTGTAACAAGATGAATCACGCACGCACACATGCTCAGGAAAATCGAACTAAACTCGATATATTGCAGACACTCTTCATAGATAGAGCTATTCTAGTGGCAAGCTAGACGCCATTTTTAGTCGGAGGGTCGGAGATGCCCAGACTGTTACTCGATTGACTCCAAGGGAAACAATCGTCGAAGGGAGGACACGCGATCTTCGCGCGAAGGCGGCGGCTCTTACCATCTGCGAGGTCTCCAGTATGTTGGCCACTTCGGTCGGCTGCAGGTCGCGCAGCATCCTGCGATTGATCGCGATGGCCTTGTCGCCGGGCAGGAGGACGCCGCTGCGCTCGGCCGGGCCGCCCGCTTCCAGCAGACTCACCACATAGTTGACACGATCCTCCGCCGGCTTGAGCGCCAGGCCGAAGCCCCGGTGATCCGGTCGCAGCACCACCGTCAGGCTCTCCTTCATCTGCAGCGTCTGGCTCGGGTTTTGCTGCGCCTGCGGCTGCGCCCGCCTCTTCACCGTCCTGGCGGACGGCGGCCGCGGCAGTATCTGCAGCCGGGCGATGCGACAGCTCTCGGCGCTGTTGCGCAGCAGCTTGGCGGCGGTCACCGCGTCTTGGACAGGCGTGTCGTCCACCGCCAGCAGACGGTCGCCGGACTGCAGGGCGCCGCAGCGGTCGGCGGTGCTCGCCGGGCGCAGGCTCTCGATGTAGACGCCGCTCGGGGTCTCTCTCACGGTTAACCCCAGCTCACCTGCGGATATTTCAGATTAACGTCACGCCCTCCTTCTTCGTCTTGTCTTCTAGATAAAGTAACATCGTCGTTCCGATGACACCGGCCAGGCGAAGAAGGAGGGAGGAGAGTCAAGGAGACGTTTCAACGGCCGTGCAGGGACCAGTCATACCTGTAAGGATCGAACGGAAAAGTGTCAGGGGTACCCATAAGTAAATGTCGTTTTCTTCAGATTGAACAAACGATCCACTATGAGGCTTCGAGTCCCAATGAAACCGTAACTGCCGAATATTATTGTACACGGCTTGTTAGACCGAAGGACATCGCTTTGCTTGAAAAACCTCCAAGGCTGGTTGATCGAAAGGGTGTCGTTCTCCAGGATCAAAAAGCGACATTACTCATGGGTTATCCCTGATATATCGGAAGCCGGAGTTTGCCGGGCCGGACCTTCCGCTTGCCGGTCGACTGCTCTTCCCTTGCCAGGTGGATTCCCACGGAAATCCAATGACGCCCATGCGAATTCATGTGGGATCGTAAAAATCCGCACGGTGTGTGAAGATTCACGTAAGAATCCACACGGATTTCTACCTGGATCTGGTTTTTCGGCGAACCCCGGAAGCAACCGTAGGATCCCATATGGATTTCCTACGTGGATTCCCACCTGGTTTCTTCAACAGGGTTACCACTGAGCTATCCAAACTCCCGTTCCGATGCACTCTCTCTCTCTCTCTCTCTCTTCTCCTTATTAACTGCATAATCACGTCACGACGATCTCACTCCTCATTCTAGGCACTTGTATACCTGAGAGACCGCGTTCCAGTTGCACAAGCAGCGGCCCGGAAGTGGCGGCGCGCGCCTCCTCCATGTTCGCCACGTCGTACTCGATGGTGAGCGACGCGACAGGTGCGTCGGAGCTTCTCCGGAGCGCTCTCTGCGCCTCCGCCAAGGTGAGTCCCCGCAGCTCGGTGTCGTCGACCGCGAGCAAGCGATCGCCGGGCCGTACCCTGCCCTCCTTTGCGGCCGGGCCATCAGCCTTCACCCCGGTCACCACCAGGGCCCGCGACACTCCGCCACGGAGGGTCACTCCGAGGCTGCCGGCCTCGCGCTCCACTCGCACTTGCGCGACCTTCGACGAGACGCTCGAGGGCGGCGAGCCGATCGCGCTCGCCTCTTGCTCGTCCAGCAGCAGGAAGCTGTGCGGATGGTACTGCTGCGCCGGGACGCTCTCTTCCGCTCTGGCCGAGTCCGAACTCGCGGACGTGGCGACGCTGCCCGGCCTGGCGCGGCTCTTGTGCGAGCGCATCGTCGCCAGCCTCAACGAGCTGAACATCCTCGCCTCGTTTCCCGCTTTTTCTCGCCCGACCAGCCGAGCGTGTGAATCGTGTGTGCGCGCCCTTTACAGACGTGTGTGTGCGTGTGATTCGTGTCTCGGACGATATCCCACTGAACCCGACGATTTTGAGCCCGCGCTCCTTCCACCCTCGTTTCCTTTGTCTCCCGGCTTCCTCGACGCTCGGCCACCGCGCGACCTCCCGATTGACTCCCGACTGTTCGCGCGCGAGTCACGCTCGCGAGAACTCGGGAAACGTGGTGCCTCCTGTCTTCTCAGAGGACGCACCGCCGAGTCGCCAGCGGTCCTCCCACGTAGCGTTGCGCATAGCCGGCAGGGTCCAAGTCGGCCACGAGTACAAGAGGAACATTCATTCACTCTGTGCCTTCCCCGACGTACACGCTCGTGGTTCACACTCGCGCACGCGAAACTGAAGCCTGGAGCTCGCGAGACCAGGAAGAAAAAGAGAGAGAGAGAGATGGGGGGGCGGGGGGGGTGCGATACCACTTGCTCACGGGACAATCGCGATTGCACAATCGGCGACGACGATCCTTTTGCTCGCGAGGTAAACAAGAGGGCTCTCTCTCTCTCTTTCTCTCGTGCCTTTGTCCGACTGTCCCCGGCGGCGCGGCGTCGGGAGCGCGCTTCTTGCCGGATGAAACTCCTCGGGACTGAGCGGAGAACTGTAACGACTCGCGATGCGTCTCAAAAATAACTCCTCGATATAGGGCCGCATCGGCGCGCAGACGAGCGGATCTATTTATACGATCGACACCCGCGCCTACGCACCGCGCGCAGCGGCGTGCGGCCCTGGCGGCCGACCGCACGCCTGCCGCAACTAAGTCGAATAAGAGCGCGTTTTTCTCTCGTTACCTCGAAATCCCGAAAGGCCCGCACAGGTTCGCGCGTAAAGGGCCGTTCGGATCGAGCTCGATTTCCGCCTGGCCGCTCGAAGTCAGGAAGCGCGTACGACCCCATCGCCGCGGCGATATCGACCGGTCTACCTCCCCCTCTCTTTCTGTGTAAAAAAAAAGAAGTCGGTTCCCGCAAGTGAAATGAAGCAGCCAAGAGATCATCCGGTGACGAGAAATGAAAAGCCGGGATATCTCCGTTTCCGCGCAACTGAGAACACTCAGCTGTCTCAGAGCTCGGTTGAGACGTCAATTGAGCGATCAACCCCAAGCGGAAATTTCGTGCCAGAAATCCTTCTGCTCCTACAGTCGAGGAATTTTCGTCTGGTCCAGTTTATTTTCTAGTCCGCGGGAAATGGGAGATTCAGTTACGCCAATGGGGTTGCTTCCTCCGTGCATGAATATTCGGCTGTATCAAGACTCGGCTGAGACAGACTGAGAGTGGTTGAGCGAGCAGGAGATTCTTCTTGCGCGGGGAAAAAATTCTAGTTCCCGCAACTGAAACCAGGGACCGGGGGGAAACTCGGATGCCGAGAAACGAGAACTCGGCGACGAGGCATGAAAACTGTTCCCGTGGACGTTCAGCTGCGTTAAAACTCGGCTGTGACAATCGGGAGGAACTGATGGGACAGAAAACTCCTACGGGAACCTTTTTGTTCCTGCAACCGAGTTTCCGCTTGGTCACCGGGAAATGGAAACCCGGGTGGAAAACAGAAAATCACGATAACGTAAAAATGACGAGGAAACGACTACAAGAGCTCGCTTTTCAATCATTCTGATACTTCAATGTCATCGTAATTTTCTGTCCCACCTAGGAAGTTTCGTTGCACCAACGGAGTAACTTTTTTTTCCACGTATGAATATTTACCTGCATTTTGAAACTCGTTTGAGACAACCGAGAGCGATTGACTGGGCAGAAGACTCCCACACGGAGGAAAAAAAGACGCCTGTTCCTGCAACTGAACGGGGACCGGATGGAAACTCGCCGCCAGGAAATGACTACTCGGCTACTACGTCCAAATATCTCCGTTACCGCGCGCAACTGAGAATATTCGTGTAAACATTCGGCTGCGTTGAAACTCGGTTGAGAGACAACCGAGAGGGAAATTGACGGAGTAGAAACCTCCTGCGGGAATTTTCCTGTTCCTATGATCGAGTTTTCGTCCGGTGCCCGGGCAACGACGGAAAATTCAGTCACATCCGCGGAACTCCTTCTCGTCGCGTGTAAAAACACGGGGGAAACGTGGAATAGATATACATCTTTATTCCTTTCTTCCTCGGGGAACATCGGTTTCTTTACAAAATACGACAATGTGTCTATATCAAGTAATTATACAAAAACACTGGAAACCCCCTAATTCGAATCGAACGATGTGAACGATTTTTCAGCGATTGCGCCGATCTCCGCTTTATCATCGGCCGTTTCGTGTCTTCTATCTTGCTTCTCTTTTAACGGCTCCTCTGTTGAATCGGACGAAACTTCCGGAGCTTACGGAGTCTCGGCCAATCGGCATTGGATCGGCTCGACTGGCGCTCGATGACGCGGATCAGCCTGAACAAACGGTCGATATTGGATAGATTTCCGGATCGAGTTCGCGCGCAGAGCATTCGTTCGTGGCGTTCGCTTTAGGATCGCCGAGTAGTACAGGCCATTCGCAGATTCAGGGACCATTGACCGAACCTCTTAAAGCGTCGCTTTTTGCCACCGCCTCCTACAACCCCCCCCCCCCTCCTCTTGTGCGTCTCCGATCTTAATTTCTCGTTCTTTGGCGCCGATCTTCTCGTCTCGCTCTTCCCTATTAGTCCGCGTCTCCCACGCGTGCACCCTCGTCTCGCTTGGCGATGGGCTTCGTGGAAGCTGCACGTCGTCATGTGCGGCGCCTTCGAGTTGCTCTTAGTTCGGATCTACAATAGGTATAGCAAACCTTTTTTGCTTGGAGCGTTAATGTGTAACGCGGTTTCCGACAAAAAGACGTTTCCGCTGCCAAAAGTCGCGGTGTAATTTGAGTCTTCGGAATCGCGACGACGTCTGGAAACGCTTTCTGCTAGAAATTACATTAGAATTTAGTGCTCCGAGAAAAGGCTAAATGCTTAAGGCGACTTTTATCAAACTTCGATTAATCCAATGAACGGTTTAAGGAGGTATTGTGGTTTGAAAGGTCACAAAAAGGATGTTGTTCGTAAGGGAATGTTTTGTAGGGAAATAAAACAAGCGAATAACGTGAAACTTTGCACGTTCTTTTAGCCTTATTTTAGGAATATATTTTTATTTTCTAAGCAATAAAAACGCTCTTTATATTACATCCTGCTCATCAGCAATTCGTAAAAAAAACGCATACAGACGTAAAATATCAACGGTTTCTTCCGAAACCGTTTGAAATATCGACTTGAAATTTTCTTTTGCAAATAGATGACATGTTCATCATCCGAATTAGAATAAACATTATACGTTCATCAGTTCTTTTTTTTCTTTTTTAATAAAATATTAACAAAATTTTCAGGAAAGACTAAAATCATTTACACCGTTCTTACGCGTTGTTGCAAGCTTCTAATGATCTGGATATAACATAAAAAAGAAAAGTGTTTTTGTTACTTGAAAAATAAAATTATATTCCTAAAGTAAGGCTAAAAAAAACATGTAAAGTCTGACGTTATTCGGCTTTTAGTTTCCCTACAAACAATTCCCGAAAAATACCCTTTTCACGACCTTTCAAGCCAGAATACCCCTTTAAAATCATTGTCAGTTAAATACCTGCTCCATCTTATTCACGCAGGTAGAAATCATTAACTTTTTGATTACTGGAAATTAGTGTTGTGGTAATTATTATTATTATCCATATATAAACTTAATAAATAATATACGAGTTCGGTAAAAGCCGCTCTTACACCTGTTGTGAGTCCGAGCCTTTGTTCCTGCAGCATCTCCCCCCGTCCCCCCTCTCTATTCCCTCTCTCTCCCCCTCTGTCTCGATATTTTATTTGCTCCTGGTTTCAGCAAGAAGACCATTCGGGAGCTCGATCGAGATCGCTTCTTCGGCTCGGATTTCCCGTTAGTCGGATGCACCCTCCCATCGTTAGTTAGGACATCTTCCTCGGCGGCATCGCGTTTAACCGTTTAGAAAATCAATCAACCGCCTGAACGCGCCGTTATTTCCCGTCTCTTCCTCCGCGCGCGCGCACACTCGGTGTTTATATAGAGAGCCACGGTGACCCCGCGGCGATCTTACGACAGCCCATCACTTTCATCTCGGCGGATGCTGCTGAGTGCGCGGTTTGCCAATTCCTCGACGAGCTAAAGTTAGCGCGCGGCGAGCGCGCGGAGCCAAGTGTGCGCGAGCGAGAGCGCGAAAGATATAGGAGAATAAGGAAAAACAAGTCGCGAGGAGCGCGCGCGATGGACGAAGCTACATGCACGTACGCGAGATAGAGAGAAAGGGAGAGAGAGAAAAAGAGTATAATTAAGAGGGAAGGGAAAAATCTAACGACGGAAGTTGGAAATAAAAAGGAGAGAACAGGGGAGCGAGCGGAAGGAAGTCGCGGAGAGCCGGGATGCGAAATATGAAGCGCAACTCGAACCGCGCTTCGAGACTCGGCGGAGACGACGAGAGATAAGAAAAAGAAAGCAGGAAAGTCGAAACGGATGTTATTCGCGAGGTGAGAGAGCGAGCGAGCGAGCGAAAGAAAGAAAGAGAGAGAGAAAGTAAGATAGAATGATGAGAGAAGGAAACAGCCGGCGACCAAGCCGACTCATTCGCGTGAGAGCGAGGTGAGGAGGGAGAGAGAGAGAGAGAGAGAGAGAAAGACGAAGAGGAGACAAGAGGAAAAGAGCAAACAAAAGGCGGCGCGAAAAGAAAAGCGCGATTCGAGCCGGGCGAGCGCCGTAAGCGAGTGTCCGCCCGAATAAAACACTCGAGAGACTCCATCGCGGCCAAAATAATAAGGCACTTCATGTATTAATAACCCGGCCGGCGCGGTAACGTGAGGCCGGGACTTATAATAACTACGTGGCGGAGAAGCGGCGGCAGGTAATTACGCATCGCCGAAATTTACACCGCGAGAGGAGCCGCGCGCACCGGCGACACGCTTTTCACGCTCGCAGGAATGCGGAAAGCGTGCGCTCGGGAACGGGAGCGGAATAATCACCGCCGAGACTGAGAAATTTTATCACAAACGCGCGCGTATGTGTATGTGTGTGTGTGTATGTATGCGTGTCTATCGCTACGGAGAGCTGGAGCCTTCGTGATTCTAACGTTACACATCTGAATAAAACACGCACGTGTCTACCGACGTTTCTAACGATCTCTGTATAATTCATTTTCTCCTACGATCGATCCTCCTCCTCCTCCGTCGAGCGTCGTCGACGTCTCTCTCGCGATCGGCCATCTCTCTCTTTCTCTCTATCGCCCCGAGTTTATTATTCCTCTCCCCCTCAACGTCGACAACGACGGAGGCCTCCGTCGGGCACAAAGGACTAGAAGTACATCTGACTACCAACGGTGGCGACCACGAGTCACGATCATCGATCGCTTCGACTACGAAAACAATTCACTGAGCTAAATAAATAACATCGTCAACTGCACGCACACAGTCGTCAACATATTGTCTCTCTAATTGCGTCCTATACGTCTACGATATAAAAATCTATACGGTGCGCCTCTCACAACCCTCCCTCCTCCTTTCTCCCCCGTGACCAACGCGCGACGTTCCCCACGTGCGCGCCGACGAAGACGCAGTTGCTGCGACTGAGACTGCGGAGACCGAGCGAAAATTCAACGGTAATCGGGAAGATCGACGTGTCACCGCGACCGAGAACATTCGTCCGCGAGTCGGAACTCGGTCGACGGCAATTGACCGAGCGAAAGCTCCTCCCTGACATTTTTCTCTTTCAACGTCTGCGACGCTGAAACCCGGCCCGAGTTTGTCGGGCAGGATATAACGGGTGTCCTAGGAAATATCGCGAGTCTTAGTAATTTGTAGCAACTGTTACGTCCGGCCGACTCAACTCGGAGTGAGGTCCAGGAAAGTTCATTTACGGAATCATTTGTTCCCCGTAAGCCGGCGGTCATCAGCGTCTCCGCTGTCGAGACGCCGCGCGTTGGTCGCGGGACGGCCGGTGTATTCTCACTTGTGTACGCTCGACATCCGTACGGGTCGGCTGTAGGTTTTGAGGAACATTCGACGACAGAAGTGCGATCTTCGTTGCGAGCTGGCCGGTCGGCTGTCTCCCTCCGTGCTTTTTCTTATTCGACCACCGGGTCGCCTCCAAGACGCCTCATCGCGTCTTTGGACGGTCTCACGTCTTGGCGGCTTCCTCGCGTGCTTTACGCATCTCCGAGGTGCGACCGGAGCTTGCTTTCCTACTCCCCCTCCTGCGTCGTCACCTCGCGAGTTCCCTGCGCCGAAGGTGTAAGCTGAGAACCTCCGGGGTTCTGCGCGAGCCAACAACAATACGAGGCGTCCTCCTCTTTTTTCCCCTCTCGCTGTTGGATAACACGAGAATGTCCGCGAAGAGGAGAATGGATGGTGACCGAAGGCTACATGCCATCGCGCCTTTCCTCCCGCTTCTGCCGGCTGTCGCACATCAGTCCGTCGCGTTCGGGTTCGTGTAGGAGAAGCCGCGGAAGACGCCCTGGTCCATCGACGTGAGGATCTGCTCGGGTACCGGCGTCAGCCGCGGACGCTCGGTCGTGAACGCCGTGTCGAAGTACCTCGTGTCCAAGGTGTGCTCGAGCGCCGGCTTGAACGGCGCTTCCAGCTGTCTCCTCTCCAGCCGATCCCACGGTAAGTGCTGCGACATCGGAAGAGTATTTATTGTTTTCGTACGATGTGTGTGTGTGTATATTTTTACCGTCTAACCACAAGGCAGTCTCGTCTAACGCTTGCGGAGGATCGTACCTGGAAGAAGGCGTGCATAGCGATCTCGTGGCCGGGCGGTCTCTTCCCAGAATCTTTCTCCAGCAGGCAGACCAGGATGTCGGTGGCTTCTTGGCTCAGGTAGCGCGGTATGAAAGGCCGCTCGTTGCAAATGCTCCAGAACAGCTCGTCCTCGTCGCAGCCGGAGAACGGCGACTGGCCGGTCAGCATCTCGTACAGGAGGACACCGTACGACCACCAGTCCACGGCTTGATTGTACTTGAGTCCTTTTATAATCTGTAAATGACGGGAGGATACATGTGAAGGATGAACGCTAAAGTAAATATTTCTGAACAAATAATTCGAATTGTTTAGAATAAATCTTTATTTACGTTATTTATATATTTATTCTAAATAAATAATCACATTGTGAATAAACAAGAGCAGATGTCTAAAAAGATATGAAAAGAAACCAAGTTCGCATCGCCAGGGACAAATGAAAGGGAAGAACGATTCGTTGACTGACCAGTCAAGTCAATTGTTGACGCGCGGAATAAGGAGAGAAGTGGAAAGAGGAAAGGAGAGGGAATACGGACAACATCAATGCGACCGATGGTACCTCCGGTGCCATGTAGTCTGGCGTGCCGCAGAACGTGTCGGCCGTTCTGTCCAAGAAGATCTGTAGCTTGCACATGCCGAAGTCCGCGATTCGGATGTGACCGTCGAAGTCCAACAGCACGTTGTCCAGCTTGAGATCCCGGTAGACGATGCCCTTTTTGTGGAGGAAGTTCAAGCCGGACCAGATCTCGGCGGCGTAGAAGCGCGCCCGCGCCTCCGGGAACCGGCCGGACTTCTGTATGTGGAACATCAGGTCGCCGCCGTTCAGGTACTCCATGACGAAGAATAGGTGCGACTCGGTCTGAAAGGTGCAGAATAGGTGGCAGAGGTACGGGTGCCTCGTAGCCAACGTCAGCACCTTCCTCTCGATCAGCGTGCACTCCACGTCGTCGTCCTCGAGGACTACGTCCTTCTTCAGACATTTGACGGCGTACACGCACTCCGTGCCGCGCAGCTCGGCCAACAGGACCTTACCGAAGCTGCCTTTGCCCAGGACCTACGGTATCAATGCCAGAATTCGTTAAAAATAGCGCGCCCACCGAGAGATACCCTCGATCCGGTCGCATTCCCCGAGTCGAAAGTTGGATGCTACTTTGACGCTCTTAAGACTCCTGTTCCGCCGCCACGGTTGTCTTGTTTGATGACGTGAGCAGTGGGGAAACGCGTGCCTAGAATTCTCGTGACAGAGAGAGAGAGAGAGAGAGAGAGACAATGATGTTTACCGGTGCCTTGGGACTAAGTCCCTTCAAACGCTAATACAGTGAAGGAAAAAGTAAAATTTTCCTCGAAAAGAATGTCAAGCAATGCAAGATTAGATGAGCTACAGACCAATTGTAAGAATTATTCTCACTTGGTTTGACCCTCCGACATCCTTTCCCTCGTAGGAAATGAAATTGTCAACAACGACATTTTCTCTTATTATTCCAATTTTTCTTTTCCTGCGGGAAACGCGCGTACTTGGCGTTCTTCTTTTATTATCTTTTTTTTGAAAAGATCACATTGTGCCGATGAAAAGCTACTTCGAAGAAACTGAGACCCACTGACTTCTCTCTTGAACCTCGTGATTTCATTCTAACGCTACTCTGAACGAACTGATTTGACGTCGAAACAGCGAAAACGGAAATCTGAGTATCATCGAAATAGGAGTAAATTATTATTATACGTTATTGGAATTGAAGTTGAATCTATGTCGCTGTCTTAGCCGCAGTCGTGCTGTAGAACTGAAAGTTTAACACAGGGCCGAAATTTCGGCTCGGTTCGTCACGTACCGACTAACAAAGATTCCACGCAACGCGTTGACGATGGCAGCGAGGGGCCGACCTCGAGGCTACGTCGACCTCGTCGTAGTTGCCGCCGTTGTCTCTCGCGCGAACAGCTCGGAATAATAACAATAATAATAATGACAATAATGTGTGATGGATTTGGGTGAATGTTCGAGGTCTAAATCGAATCGTGTGTTCCTCGGCCGCGCATCTGGACGTTAAAAATAATACGTTGCGTGGCGCTACTAATTCCGGTAATCTATTTGCGTAGCCAAAATCACTCTCTCTCTCTCTCTCTCTCTCTTCCTCCCTCCTCTTTCTCCCCGCTCTCTCTCTCTCTCTCTCTCTTTCTCTCTTTCTGTCCTTCTTGCTCTCTGTCTCGGTACAAATTGAATTCCCCATTTCACGCATCGCACTCTCGCGAATAAATATCGCGGACTCGGCCGCGTTCGCGCGTGCAGTTATTTCTCGCGCGGGGTAGACAAGACAAAGTATGCTCCTGGCATTGTTCCCCGTAGCGCGCCTGATCGTAAACTTGAAAATCGAACGTTTGCACCTCATCCGCTGGATTATTTCCTGGCGACGCCTCGTGAATCAAGCCGGGCCTCACGTGATGTAAATACACGTGATTCAGATTAGCTTTCATCGCATGCCGCGAGCCAAGCCGCGCTCCTCACGGCTGCCTTCGAGAGAGAGAGAGAGTCTCTGGGATCCGCGATATTAATGAGGATCGTGGGAGTCGCGAAATCGACACCGATTACCACGGGAGTAAAAATTCGGAAAGAAAGAGAGAAAAAGAGAGAGGGAAAAAGATCGCGCCGGCGGTCGGATTTACTCGTTCCGCGCGGAAAGACGAGGGGATTTCATCAGGAGCGAGATCTCGAGCGAGACGGAGGTTGAAGTCGAGCGAAGCGAACGTCGAGTCTTCTCCGGCGATTGGGATTTTCGCAGACACGTTAGGCAGACTCCGCATGCGAAACGCTCGCCCGCTCGCTCGGAGAACATATTGTAGTAAGCTCCTCCCGCATCTGGAAGTTCGCCAAAACTCGACACGCAGCACGGCGGCGTAAACACTGTTCTTTTTAGATATTCGTTGTATCACGATATTACGGGAGATTTATCACCTGTTCGAAAGAAACGTTCTCATAACGCGCGCGCGGCGGCCGACAAAGCGATCGTTGGAAAACGCCGTTTGGTGTTCTACACCGTTCTACGATCGGGGAAAAGTATGTGTGAGTTTTGTGCGTGGAATTGATGCATACGGTTTAATCAATTGTTTTGTAGTTGGTGAAGCTATATCCGAACGGTTACGATAATTATCGAGAATTATGCACTGAGAGAAAAATATAGTTTTTTTCGGGGACAATATCCTTTTTTTTTATTTTAACACGCAAAAATAATAGCAACAATATGCACGTAAGGTTATAATCATTGATAGTAATTCTTACTAGAAAAATAGTTTTCTTGACCATTTTTGTGGTTGAAATGAAAAAAGGACATTATTGTCCTTTAAAATGTACTATATTTTTTTCCCAGATGCTGTGCCGTTCAGGTTTGGTCGTGATAATTGTAAAACAGTCCATTAAACTGTATATATTGAAGGGGGGGTGCCGTTCTTGGAAACTTTGCCGGGGAAAATACTGACTTCTTTCTGCAAAGTCTACGTCGTATTGGCAGCACAGATTTATAAGTGCTTTCGTATAGTGAAAGAGTGCGCATGAAATGACTCGATGTGTGATGAAAACGATTGAGAATTTCAAAATTGATATCTCTGGCTGCCAGTTAATGTAAATGTTTACCTGATACAGAATTTCCGCAGCTTGTACATGCCGAATGTGCCAATGCTCCAGTCAGGAAAATTTCAAGGAACATTTTTATATCTCTTCAATTAAATTTAGAATCTAAGAAGATAAAAAGTAGTTTGCAAAAAAGTCTTTATATATCTCGGCCAGATTTTCCGTCAGATATAAACAGAGTAGCGCACATTCATCGGACTCGTATTTATATCGGCGTCATGCATGCTGTATCACTTCTTAGACGCGAGTTACACGATTTTCAGCCTTACAAGTAACGCTGAAAACCGCAGAAGTAATTCTAATTATAACAATAAGGTTATAATGGCTCCGATTATAATAATATTCGATCTGTATACGTGTGTGTAAAAGACTAAAAATCGTGTGATAATAAGCAATTTCAATTTAAAGAATAGTACAACATATATGACACTGATTGTACTTGTATTTATGTAAGATCCGCGTGTACAAAAAAATATAGAAAGAATAGCGTGATCGTGTCGGTGTTTACGTAACATAACATTTGTCGACATTTATCAGGATTGTCATCGGCTCTGGCATTCCCTTTAAGGGCTCACGATGAAAGGAATAAGGAACGAAGAATTAAATGGGGATTGAAGAACAAGGAATTAAATTTCGGCGTGAGAGCCGGTATTCCTGGTCAGATCTTAAATTTAGGACTGTCTTAAGTTTATCTTCGGACGCTTCGTAGCCAATGAAATGAACCATAGGGCATCTAAAGATAAACTTAAGACGGTCTTAAATATAAGATCCGACTATGAATACCAGACAACCCTGCTTTAATCCGCAATAAAGGAATGGAGATTAGGGACACCGTCGAAATTCTATTCCCTGTGTAACTTGAATGCGCTTAGAAGACTTGGGCCGGTATTCATAGTCGGATCTCATATATAAGACTGTCCTAAGTGCATCTTCAGATGCCGTACGGCTCATTTCATTTATTACATTTGACGACGAATTTAGGGCGTTCTTAAATAGAAAATCTGACTATCGGCCTTAGATTGATCGAGTAAGTTCTAACTGTAAGTTCTTCAAAATATCTAACGGTCGGTCGACGTACAAATGGAAATCAGTTTGAATAAAGTCGACAATTATCGAGAAGAAAACGACAGAAGTGTCACTGATGGTAGCAGAGGTTCATTGGAAAATGGTAAAAGTGGTAATCTCGTTTCAAAGCGCCCTTACATCTCATTCTCTATTCTCTTCATTGCGTTTTCAATTATAACTTATTCCTTTCATCGTGTCAGAGCCCCGATTCTACCCACAAAACTCTATACAGTCGTCGCCTTTACTACGCCACGACTATTTCGCTCTTAGTACGCGCTCTTCGTATCTCCGCAATCTTCCCTCGCAGTTTTCCATTTCCCGTTGACGTTTCCCGCCGGCCGTTCCTCGCGTCATGTCGCGAATCGTTTCGAGCCGTTCGTTCGGATCGCTCGTAACAACGATCCGCTGATAAAATATGAAATTTAATTACATCCGAGGAACGTCCCCGCCGACCCACACGTGCGCGCGTGTAGGCGTGCACGCCATTATATGCGCGAAGTACGTAATATGGTCTAGGAATAGTTGGCTGATTTTGGAACCGACCGAGCGCACGTAACGCTTGCGTGTCGTGACAAACAAAAAGTTGCTAAGCAAAGAGGACAGGTGTTTTATGAACTAACGAGGCCGGACGTTGGGTTGCGTTCAGCGCACGGACTTCGGTCCAGGGATAATTCCGGCGTTTTAAACGACGGGCGCGGGATCCGCGGTTAACGCGAGAAAAAAAATCGCGGGGAAGAGGAGGCGAAAGCTCTCACCTTGAGGAAGTTGAAGTCCGTCACCGCGTATTTCTTGAACCTCGGCAGGTTCGTCGCCGGCGGCGTTATCCGGCCGCTCGAGAAGTGATCCGAGGAGTCCGAATTGCGCTGATTGTCCGACGATTGCGAAGGCGCTGCGGATAAAGTTAACGGCGCGTTAACGAGGCCGTCGTGACCGGCGGGAAATCGGACGCAATCGGATCTAGATTTGTTCACCGACCGGCAGAGAGTCGGATTTTTCGTATTTCATTAACCGTACTGAGATCGAGATATGTTGATAAATTTCAAAACACAATTCGGACTATTAATATTAATTAATAGTCGTCACCTGAAACTTGTCTTCTGAGGTATCCAGATTTTTACTCCAAGTTAGTTCCGCAAGTTTTTCAATCCGATTATACGATATATATGACACATTGTACACGCAGAGAAATCCCTCGAAAATTATTGTCATTTCCGGCTTCGACTTCGATCTTTTTCCGGCTTTAGTCCAAAAAAAATAGCAACAATATGCATGTAAGGTTATTATCATCGACACTATAATAACTATGACAACACTTACTAGAAAAAATGGTTCTTCCGATTATAATCCTTTCGCTTATGCGATTATAGTTACAAATACCGGAAATTTTTTTCCAACGTATCCGGGAAAAAACGCTGAATCAATAAAATTTCCAACGGCACTGGTAATTGAAGTAAATCTCGATTCAACAGCATGTCATTGAATATCATTGAAAATAATATTCCAATTATTGGAACGATATATGTGATGTATCAGTTTCAACGATATCGCTCTGTCACATCGGGACGATTCACTCCAATTGCGTGCGCTGTTGGGAAGTCTATTGATTTAACAGCATTTTTTTTCGTGTGCACAGTCGTTCCTGAACATTAATGTGCTGTCTCAAAGTTATCTTTTATTTATTTTATCTTTATCTTCACGTTGACACTCGGAAGTCCGGAAGCTTAGCGACAGCTTGAGCGCTGAACGTTAACTTGATTACTCGATTAACTCGACACACTTACTGATTCGACAAATTGTCCTCTTTTTTTCGAATAATTAATAAATAATGAAACGATATTGTTTACGGTCCGAAAATCTCAATAACTCACTGATCACGTCGCGTATCAAAGCGATTCTACCAATTAGTGTACATTAGAAGACAAGGAGGTGTTTTTTTCCTCACGCTCGATCATGCAATTGACAGTCCGCTTGACAATCTGATTGATCGGGCTTGATTGCGATCAGTTGCCGCCTCTGTAAACGTAAACGTTATTGCTTGGCACGTAAAAACACCTGACCGTGCAATTTGGCCGTGCGACATTCTCCAAAAATAGATCCGACCGCCCGATGTTACCCGCCGGCCGGTGTGCGTGCATCCGTGCTGCTGCAGAATCGAGAGGTATATTCGTACGTTAGCTGCACAATCGCGCACCTCGTGTTATCACACGTGTAGTGTCACGTGGTTACCGTGATTCGTGGGGAAACGTCACGCCGCATCGTGCTTGGCGAAACGTCGCGCGATTATCAACGCAGTCGCTACCACCGTTCATCCGTTCGCCACAAATCACCCTGTGGATTATTTCTTCCAATAATAATAACTTTCGCCAATTTCAACGATAATAAATAGCAATCTCTACAATCTTCTTTTGTTAAAACAGTATCTTTTGTTTTAATACATATATCTTATATAATGCCTCTAATGATAATATAAATAATTGAGAAATAAAATAAAAATTAATAATAAAAGTTGTACCTTTAATAATAACAATAAACCTTTAATAATAACTTTGATCAATAACGATAATCTGTATTTTTCTCATGTGATAATGTAAAGCAAATTTTAATTTTTTTTTCACATAAACAAATTAAAATATGCTTTATACGTTTGTAAAGAAAACTGTAAAGAAATACATTTGCGTAAGTATACAACATTTGTTTGTAAGAACACAGAATGTTCTTCATAGGATGCTCGTCGTCACACGCATACGTGACGTCGGTTTCCCTTGGTGAAAATCGGTGGTAGCGAACGTGTTACAAATCGCCAGAGGTCACACACACACTACTCACTACTCGCTACTTACTTCTCTTGAGGGCCTGCAAAGCCTCCGCGACTAGTTTTTGATTTAATCCGCACAGATTCCCCGTGAGCTTTTCGCACTTCTTATGGCAGGCCATGTCGCAATCTACGGGAACGTCGAATCGGCAGGCCGATAAAGTACAAAGTACTTGAATACTCGCCCTTGAATACTCCACGTTAACGTGTCAAGTCGTCAACGTGTCAGATCGTACCATGACTCTTCGATGCATCTTGTCGCGTTCGCGAACGACGGCGGACTCGATGGTCCGACGACGACCCACCCTGGTATTCCGGGCGACTATCGTAACTTTGCTCTAAAAGTTCCGCATTTCGAGAAGAGTTGTTCGAAAAGTTGGTCCAAATCTACAACAGGTGTGGTAGTAAACATTTTGCTCTTAGCACCAAAACATAAAATACTTTCTGAAAAGAGGCGTTGTTACCTGCGCTGCCAAAAGTCATAAGGGGCCATTTAACACGCGAAAATTTACGTCACGCGAAATTTCACATTTCGTCACCAAGTACCTGCCCCCTTCTAATGTTAGGTGACATTCCTCCCCCTCGTTAACATATAGAATAAGGAAACAAAATATCTCATAACCACATTGTAGATAATAATTACTACAGACTGCAACGCTATTATCTTCTTTCTAAAATACGAATAATTCTCAGGCGTAATATAAAATTAATTACTTTACAATTTTGTTTTGTAAAAGTGTTGTTATTAAAAGAATAAATATCTAAAAATCAACATTTTGATTATTAATACAAAACCATGTCAAAATTGGAACTTTTTCACCAAATAGCAACCAAATACGTCACGAGTGCAAAGAAAGTGGATGACCATGCGCATCCACGTCACAAGTTATGCCCTCTAACATGACGTTCCATGACTTTTACTCCCGCCTTTTCTGCCACCATAGGTCGTTACGCGAGTTAATCTCCTTTATAGTAAATGTCGAGTGGACCCATAACAAAACTTAATTCTTAAGAATTACATCTAGTAACGCTTCTTGCCAGAAATTACATTACAATTTGGTTGACTCAGGCCGAAGGGCTAAACTCTTATCGGACCGTTGCAGATCCAGCTTCACGTGGAAATCGTCGAGTTCACGCGAGAAACTTTTCGTTCTTCACGTGTCCACTTTTAGGAGAAAAGCCACACGATCGTCGCCCGGAAAACACCCGGAGAACGCTAAACGCCTTTCTGATTCTCAGGCATTGTGCGCGTTCGCTCACGTGAGAAAATCAGAACTTGGATTCGGAAAGGCTCGTTCCTGGTTCAAACCGGAGGAAGGGTCGAGGCACGTTATTGTCGTTATCCGCGGCATTGTTCACCGAGACGCGCCAGAAAACGTATTCGACGTGTTTCCTTGTACGTAGACGCGATACCCGCGAGAGCCGGGGTGTCATTGACATCACGGCAACGACCTTACGTCATTTTAATAGACGCCGAGACGAATGCGGGCGTAGGATTCATCTCGCACCTCTTCGTTTCCGCCGCCGCTGCAGGTCCACACGGCACGTGATGATGCCGCTAAAACGAGTCTCGCGGCTGCGACGATGACGTAGGGGAGCGATCGAGTTTCCTCGGCCGAGAAGGGGCGTCCCTCGCGGTAGAAGAGACGAGATCCCGCGCGGGAGTTTACGGCTCGCGTGTCTTCCGCGCGCCGCTCCGCGAATATTTTCGACCGGACTCGAAATTCCACACGCCCGCGACTCTGCGCGCACGCGAGCTTTATTCCTACGTGTCGTGCGTTAATTTCAAGTCAACAACACACGGCGATCGCCTGTCGAAGGCGTGAATGTTATGGAAATACGCAGGGGCGCGCCGATACGTCTGAGTGAAACGCGAGATCACTTCGACGTGTGATTCACTCTCTAAATTTCTAAAGGCCGGATCCCGCTCGTGGGAAAACGAGGGGGAATTCCCTCGAAAGCTCGGCAGCTGGATTACCGTCGCCCCGGAATGGGGCGAATTTTCACGGAATTTCACAATTCTTCCCGCGATTCCCGCGACGTTTAACTCGAAAGGGAATTCATTCCTGGCACATTCGAGGGAACGTTTCGGTCGATTCCAGTGAATTCCAGTGACGATGGGATATCGTCGGATGTATTCTTCACTTTGGAATAATAAATATTCACTCACAGTGGAAGAATTGTGACTTTATGTGAGCGACTTTATGTCACTCGACTGCGTGGCTTTTCGAGTAGAATTCTCACTCGAAGAAATTCAGAGAGTATTTCTCGAACTTGTGCTTCACGTCGTGGACGTTAATTACATTGATACACGCACGCATGCAAGAATGAATGCCAATGAACACACAGATACAAGGAGAATTATTAACAAACGACCAGAAACACACGCAAACCAACGTTACCGTCGTGTCAGTGTCCTCCGAACGGTTTCCGAACTTTCCATCGTAAAACCGCGATCGGGATCAATTGTCCTTCAAGTTTTACTTTCGATCGAGTCTCCTCGCGATCGTGATGAACTCATTAACGGCCCCATTAAGAAGTCTTTTACATCGAATAAAATTGATTAATATATATGTTATTTTTTAATTTTCACTATCCCTAATTTTCACTTCACTTTAATATCTTCAATAAAAATACTCCTGACACGAGGAAAGAAGTTCAGTTGAATTTACCTGTGTATCGGTCATGTAATTTCTTTCTAGGGTGAAAACGCGAAGAGTGAAAAATTCTAAATGTTTCCAAATTGGAAAATTTACTTATCACGAATTCACGCCGGAAGAGGGAGAGAAGATATATGATAAATCGAGGATCATAAATCTTCTCCTCCAGCGTGAATTCGTGACAGGTGAAAATTTTCCAATTTGAAAACATTCGAAATTTTCACTTCCCCGTTTTTGTTCTACGCATAAATTACACGATCGATATCCTGACGATGAATAAACTAAGTGCATTTTGAAAAAATCGAATTTCTGGTCATAAGAATCGTAACCGACCAGGAAATTCCTTCAGCCAAGATGCGTTTGTGATTGGTTCATTGTCAGATAAATTCAACCAAGCCTCGCTTTTCCGCGCACTAGTCCACACTCTCTAACAGTTCCAAAATACCAACCTAATACTCGTCTCTACCATTATAGTTTAAGTCTAACCGACGATTGGCCAACAATCCCCCCCCCCCCCCCNGATATAAAGCGTGACGTGATGGAAACGGGCACGAGACTTCCAAAAACTGGGCAAACCGAGCTCTCAAGTAGCAGATTGACGTCAGAGATGTCACATTGACGTCAACACGATGCCCCTCGGCGTCACCCTGCTAGTCGGGCTCTCCCAGTGAAAAATGTCCGCGAAACAATTGCTCCGAGATTCGATCGAAGCGAACGAAGGGAATCGGTCTGTTCTTCCCAGCCCAACTGGCTGCGCCGGTTGAAAAAATTCACGCGCACTGAATCGCCCACGCTTCGTGTGCACGTAAATTTCTCGAACTAGCGAAGGCAATTCAGCCGAAACTAGAAGCGAACTGAGTGATTCCGAAACCGTGCGGACACGTGACCGACACGAGGAACCTAACGCGAAGACAGTCGCCTAAAGAAGATATCGGGTAAGTACTCGAGATCCTCGGCGAGCCGTCGAACCCAGAATCGTTGCTCCTCGTCGAGTTCATTCGCTTGTGCTCGGCGTCGTCGTCCAGCTCGGTGCAGGTCGAGCCGCTCCCGTCCGTGCTCTCGGTGGTGGCGGTGCTGCTGGTGGTGCTGCCGGTGCTGTCGCTGCTGACGGACGGTGTTCTCGAGTGTAGCCTACGCCGCTGCTTGCCGATCTTCGCCCTCCTGACCTTCGAGAGGTCGCGGGGCGTCGCGGTGAGCAGCGCCGACGGGGTGGTGTAGAACATCTTGATGAGATCGAGCGGCCGCTGGGACGGCGAGTTCCTCGGGCTGCACATCGGCGAGCCCTTGGGCGACGGTTTCGCCAGAAGCAGCTTGTTGGAGAGCAGCGGCTTCGCCGTGGGCGGGTTCTGCTGACCGACCTCGTTGCCGGCCAGCTTGCTCGTCTCCTTGTCGGCGGGCTTCGCCGACGATTTCTTTCCGGACGGCTTCTTCTTCTTCGCCGCGCGCTTCGTCCTCGAGGACTGCGGACTGACGGCCGGGCTGGCCGCCAAGCTGGCCTTCTCCGACGCCACCGGGGTCTCGGCGTCGTCCGTGTTCGTCAGGTCGTCCTGGTTGCTCCACTTGGAGATCTTCGTCGGGTCCGGCAGCTCGTTCGTAGGCGTGCTGACGTCGTCGTGCTCCTCAACGTTCTGGCCGTCGGGCACCACCTCGACGTTCGGATCCTTCGGCACCTCGACGCTGATCGCCGGCATATCCGGCACCGCCAGCGGAGTCGACACCGTCGAGGAGGAGTCGCTCTGGGTGGGCGTCGCGTCGGAATCGGCCGGCGAGCTGTCCTCGCGCTTCGCCGGCCTCGCCTTCTTCACGGTCGAGCTCGGCTCCTTCGCGCCGATCGCGATCGACAGGTTGCCGGTCTTCTTCTTCACCCGCGGCGCCTTCGTCTGCTGCGCGCTCTTCTCCGCCGCTTTCTCTCCCGCCTTCCTCTCTTCGTCGGCGTCGCCGACTGCCGCCGTAGCGCCGGGCGCGACGCTTATTTTAACGTCGCCCTCGTTCTTTTTCCCCTCGAGCTCTTTTATCGCCGGCTTCCCGCGAGCCGGAGAATCGCCGGATACCCGTTTCGGGCCCGAAATCGGATCCGCCTTCCGCTCGATCCCGACGCTCTGCTTCGACCTGCTCGCCCGCGGGCTGTCCGACGCCTTGATCTCGCTCCAGAAGTCGATGGACTCGGTGGACGCGCTCTTGGACAGCTGTCCGCTCGGCTTCGCGCATTCGATCGCCGGCTTCTTCTTCTCCGGCACCTTGCTCGGGAATTTGCTCGGCGGCTTCTCCACCGGCTTCTTCACCGGCATGCTCTTGCCCGCAGCCTTCTCGTCGACCGACGCGCACTGTCGCAGCGCCCTGCCGGGGAGGTTCGCGTTGGAAGGATCGCCCGTCGAGTCGGCGATGACGGACGTGCTCTTCTTCAGGATTTTCGGCGCCTTGCCATCGTCGTTCCCCGCCGACGAGTCATTGCTGGCCTCGCTCGCCTTCTGGAGAGTTTTCACCTTGAAGGGGAACCTGGACTCCGCGCCGCCGAGCTTCGATGCTTTGCCGGCCTTCGCGCTGGACACACCGGAGTCCCTCGACGAGTCCTTCGCCACGTTCGCCGCACTGACCTTCTTAACGTCGATCTTCAAGGGTGTCGCGTCCTTCGTCGCTTCCGCCTCGCTCCTCGCCGGCGGTGCCGGCGAGGAGATCGTCTCCGGGGACGCTGCTCCCGATTTGTACCTGGGCGTTCCCGTCAAACCGCCGTCTCTCGTCGGCTTGACATCTCCCGCCTTCCCTGTCTCGTTGCTGCGCACTTCGCCGTTCGCGGGCAAGGTCGTGCTCTTCGAGTCCGCCGCGTCGTCCCCGCGGGCGGCCGCTTCGTCTACGCCAATGGCTGTCTTCGGGGGTGCGTCGGGACGGCCGTTCCTCCTCGCCAAGTCCGACGCTTTGTTCTTTCCCGGCAACGCGTTCACCGGCGCGTCTTCCTCCGCGGCGACGCGGCGTTCGCTCTTGTACGCGGGCGATCTGCTTGCCAGGTACGCCGCCGACTCTCGTCGTAACGAAAGCTCTGGCGCTTCTACGGCATTATTTCTATCCGCATTAATTTTAGATGCCTTTGGCAGACCGCTCGTGTTCGGCGTGGGCATCAACGTCGCGATGCTGGCGCTGTTTTCACGCGTATCGCCAGCGTTCGTGGGAACGCTCCGCCTCGTCGTCGTCGTTGTTACGTCCTCGTGCGACGTCGCCGGGACCTTTGGCGCGTCCGACGCGCCTCGCGCTTCCTCCTCCTGCGCGAGCTTGTCCATCCTCGAAGCTGCGACTGTTTCCGGAGTCTTCGCCGACGCTTCCAGCTTCCTCTTCGTCGCGCCGCTCGGGATCTCGTCCTTTCGATTCTCCTCGTCTTTCCTCACCGTCCCGGAGAGAATATCCTTGGCCGAAACGAGGACTTCCGAAGTCTTCGTCTTGGCCGCACTGGCCCTCTCCAGGTTCTTCTTCGTCGCAGTCGCGATTGGGAGATTCTCGTTGTCTCTCGTTGTCGAGAGAGAATCTTGAGGAGAGACGACGGCCTCCGCCGTTTTAATCGTGGTGACCGGTTCCACGTTCTTCTTCGTGACACCGATAGCGTTCTCGTCCTTCCGGGTTTCGTTGTCTCTCTTCATGTTCACGGAGAGAGAATCCTGAGGAGAGACGAGAGCTTCGACCGTTTTAGTCCTGGTAATCGCTTTCAGGTTCTTCTTCGTGACGCCAGTAGCGTTCTCGTCCTTCCGGGTTTCGTTGTCTCTCTTTATGATCGCGAAGAGAGAATCCTTGGAAGAGACGAGAGCTTCCGCTTCCGTTTTGGTCGCGGGAATCGCTCCCAGGTTTCTCTTCGTGACATCAACAGCGTCCTCGTCCTCTCGATTCTCGTTGTCTTTCTTCACGTTCGCAGAGAGAGAATCCTGAGAACAGACGAGAGCTTCCACCGCTTCAGTCGTGGGAATCGCTTTCAGATTTTTCTTCGTGGCGTCAGTAGCATCCTCGTTCTTTCGATTCTCCTTCTCTTTCTTCAGATTCACGTCAAGAGTATCCTTGGACGAAGCGACGGCCTGCGGCGTCTTCGTCCTGACTGCAGCGATCGCTTCAAGGTTCTTCTTCTTCGCAGTGCCGGTTGCGTCTTCGCTCTTCCGACTCTCGTTGTCCTTCTTCGTTTTCGCATCGAGAGCGTCCTTGGACGACTCCGATTTCGATCTCGTTTGCGTCGAAATGCTCGTCGAAGTGGCCGGTTCGACGGAACTCGACGAAGCATTCATCATCCCGGTACTCTTCAAGGACTCGCTTTTCGCATCGGCTTCTCTCGCTTCATCATCCTTCGTCTTGGAGATAACGTTGTTTCGTTTGACGTCGTTAACCAAGCTCTTCGGGGTGGCGTCCCTCTTCTTCGCCGGAGGCTCTTCCGAGCTCTTAAGCTTCCCCGCACTCCTCTTGAACGCTGCGTCCTCGACGTCATCAGCCGGCCGCGCCTCGCCGTTCAACTTCGCCGGCTCCTCGTGGCGCATCGAGCTCTTCACGACGTCGTCTTCGGGGACCAGATTCGTCGGAGCGTCGACGAAGCCGTTCGCCAAACGTTCCATCCCGAGTTCGGCACCCAGCTTCTCGTCGAGCTTCTCGTCGAGCCTCTCGTCGTGGAACTTCTCCGGCGGCTTCTTCATCGTCAAATACACGCTGTTCCTCGACGAGTCCTTGACGTACGGCTTCCTCACCGGCAATACGATCCGCGTCTCCGCCTCGTCCGTGTTTTTCGCGTCCGGGCCGCCGGCTTTCCTGGGGATGGGCACTCTGACGCTCTCGCGGAACTGCTCGACGCCGAGCTTGCGCTCATTCTCGGACGCGTTCATCCAGATCGTGGAGAAGTCGCCGACGCTGTTGCACGCCTCGATCTTGTACATCTGCGGCCGCGGGCCGTTCTCCTCCAGCTCCTCCTCGTTCTTCGAGTCGGTGGATACCTCGCTGGAGGTGCTGGACCGCCTGTTATCAGGCGGCGACGGCTTGTCGGACGGTTTCTTCTTCCTCTTCGCTTTCTTCGCGGCCTTCCGCGCTCTCTGGGCGGCCGCCTCCTCCTCCACGCGCGTCATCGCGTCGGAATCGGCGGAGTTGTTCGAGTAGTACGAGTGACCGTTCACCCCCGGACCCCTCACGGTCCCCTTCCTGACGAGGGTGCCGCGACGCGCCTCGCTCTCGATCTGCGCCTGCTCCTCCGCCACCAGGCTGTCCAACATCTTCGCCTGCACCTGCGCGTACGTCGCCTCCCGCTGCAGCTGCTCCTGGTCGAGGTCCGTGGAGGAGCGCCGCCGGGTGAACCTACGGGTGACCCGCTTCTGCAGCGCCTCGCCGCTCTCGTCGCTCTCCAGGCTGGCCTGGTGGTACAGCCGCACCGGCTGCTCCTCGTCCGACGAGATCTTCTTGATGTCTTTGATGAGGAACTTCTCCATCAGGAGCTCGCCCACCGACTTCTCGTGTCGCTCGTGGTGCTCGCGCAACACCGGGTTGTCCTTCAGCGCCTGCGAGCGGATCTTGATGGTCGGCCGGTCCCGGCGCAGCCGGTTCCTCGGCCGGCCGCCGTCGTGCGAGAGGATCCGCGGCGTCGAGACGTCGATGTCGGCGGTGTCGATCACGCGGCGCGGGTGCCGCGCCGAGATCGGCGCGAAGCGGTGCAGGTGGCTCAGCGGCGACTCCGAGATCGTCGACAGGTGCGGCGAGAAACGGGACAACGGCACGAAGGGTCTAAGCGAGACACCAGGGTGACTTCGAGGTCCAGCGAACACTCGGCACGGGTCGTGTTCCGTACGAGTGTTTGTTGTTTTTGTTCTTGTCGTATCGCGCGACCTTGGCGGACACTTTTCTCATGGCACGCCCGATCTCGACGGGAGTCGTGAATCACCGCCGCGAGAGAACCTCGTCGTCGAGACGCGGAATTAACTCAGCCGCCGGTACTTTTTTCTCTTTCATTGAATAAAAGAGTACTCTTCGAGAAATACGTGAAACCGAAACCGAATCAGAGGTTCGTATGAGTCGAAAGCGTGAAATTCAAATTAAAGTAAAAGCGAAATTGTTCATACGCGGTAAAAATCTTTTGCGTTAATAACAGTCCACTGAGATCTTTGTGTCATTTTAATAAGGTGGAATATGTTAAATTGATATATATTTGTGCGCTTTTTAACATACTCCTATGTTGAAGTAACACCAAAATCTCAGTGAACTCAAGTGACTTTAAATGAAGCTTTTAAATAAAGCTTTATCTTTTAAATCTGCAATTAATTAAAATATTAACTAAAATATCAAATCAACTGGAAAAAATTAATTTTTTTAACTAAAAAAAATAGATACTTATTTTAGTTACTCTTGACTGTAAATCTAAAAGAATATTTAGTTTCTCTTCGAGCCACTTGATTAATGTGTGATTTTATATTTGTGTTCTTAGCAGCCAATTCCCAGATATACCGATGTCTTCCATCGAAATAACTTCAATGATTTTAATCCGAGATTTCGAGGAAACAAATTGATTTCCCAATCAAATATGTTCGTGAAATAATTACGGCTTTCAATGAGTCGAAAGGTTCTTCGTGCGTATCAGAATTTCGTAAAATCGCATCCAGTAAATCGTGCGACGAGAGAGCGAGACATTTGCGAGAAAAATTGATTTGAAATCAGAGATATCGTTCCCTCATTCATCAAGATCGTCAGACATCGCATCGATTGATAAGCCCTTCGATCGGCCAGGCACACCCGCTTCAATGCCAAATGCTTATTTTCGCTCTGTGTTACGTTGCACAGCGGAAACGTTCCGCGAACACTTGTTGGATACATGTGGTAAGCAAACGCCGACGCGATTCAACGTTTGATGCGGCGTTCGATCGGCTGATGTTCGCGCGAATTCACGTTACATACGTAATCGCCCGCCTACTGGAAAAAAAAAACCGCAAAGTAACCGCCAAATCGACGAGAAATCGCTATCTGCTATCCAGATTTCTTGAAGGGAAATTTTTCCCAAAGAACAAAGCGACAATCGAGTCACTCGGATTCGAGTGATTTTTCACAAATGTGGAGTGTGAATTCTCCACTTCGAGTCGTCGAGTGAATATTTCCATTCGAAACTGAAGAGAATTCTGAAACTGAAGTGAATCTGACGTATCTCACCGTCTCACGCGGGAGCACAGTTATCCTAATCTCTTGAAAGTAAAAGTAAAATGATAGAAATGTAGATAAATATAAATAAGATTCATTGCTCAAAACACAAGAATAAAGTTATATGTTCATCAAGTAATCTCAAATGCAACTGAATGCTCTTAACTCTGCAATCAAGATTAACTAAAATATTAAATAGGCTAAAATAATTTTTTTTTTAAATAGAAGCTTACTTTACTCTTGATTGTAGATTTAAAAGGATTACTTAGTTTCTTTTAAGATCACTTGATTAATATGTGATGTTATTTTTATAATCCTTTTAATATCCAAATTCCCAAATACGTATCGATGTTTTTGATCAAAATAATTTTAATGGTTCTAATCTGAGATTTCTAGGAAGCGAACTGTCTGATGCTTCAATTAAACATGATCATGAAATAATTACGGTCTCTAATGGGCTGAAATCTCTCTCTCTCTCTCTCTCTCTCTCTAACACCGTATCGGAATGAAAATCCTTTAAGCTCGAACGAAACATTCACTCTCGCGACTTCGAGTTGAAATATATTCACCATCGCTTCGAGTGAAAAGACTACCCACTTTTCATTTATTTCGAGCGAGATTTCACTCCAAGAAATCTCGAGAATGCGCTTTCTCGGGTTTTCCGCATTAGCCGGATTGCTCATCGGACAGTTCAAAACACGTTTAAACCTTCTCGATGACAACGTGGTTTACAAAAAAACAGGAATGCGCGATATCTGTCAACTTCCAAGACGCAAATCGCGAATCCAACGTTCGTTCGTTCATTCGTCCCCTCTCATTCTCTTTTAACGGCAAAATTAGACCTTGCTTTTTCGGGACAATTCCCGAATTTATCGTTGCACCGCCATCGCAGAATGATGGATGACTCGCGACGAGTCACACGTCGCGGCCTCGTCTTGCCAAGACCGCTTGCGCGAAGGATGAACGAGGGAAAAATCTACTCGCTCGTAATTATAGCGGTGCTCGAATTTCTCGCTCTGTATCACTTCTTTTTCTCCAAACCATCATCTCTTTTACTCATTATTGTTTCGCGGAACGCGACCTCACCGTGCCCGCTGAATATTTCGTGCGGGCGTGCGCGTAACGCGGCCATGAGAAAAATTTCCGCCAGCGCGCGTTTACCTAAATCGAGCGCAAACTTGGCCGAACCGCGAGCGAGAACCAGACAAAAGAACGTAATAAGAGACGGACCTCAATTTCGAGTGAGGTAAATCAAAAAGGGATGTAAAAATTTCGACGAACCTCAAAACACGCTCAGGCCCGCATTAACAGTCGTCACCTGAAACTCCCGTCTCTCACATGAGATACTTGGATTTTGATTTAAAATTAGATTTTAAAGATTCAAGTTCATCGTTCGGATTGTACGATATATGTGAGACGTCGTACATTGAGAGAAATCCTACAAAAATTATCATCATTTTCGGCATCGACTTCATCTTCTTTTTGTTTTAACCCCCCTCCCCCGCTTGAAAAAAATGGTAGCAGCAATTTGCCTCTAAGATTATTATCAATGGCGCTATAGTAACGCTTACTAGAAACAAAAAACTGATTATCTCGACTACACGTAGACTATACCTAAAACAAAAAGTGACGATGACGTCAAAATGATGAGAAAATGATCGAAAAATAAATTTTTCTCGTGATTTTTTAACGTCATTTCGACGTTAATCATCATTTTCCGTTCTAGTTCCTTCACTTATGCGATTACAGATACAAATACTAAAGTCTGTTGTCACAATATGCATGCGATCGCGATTCTCGTCCGACTCTGAACTCGAATTTGAGCCTCTCTCACTTGGGGCGAGTTCAAGTTAACAACTATTAATACGAGCCTCAGTATTCCATGAGGAAATTCACGCGAATCGCGAGCTCATTGAAGAAAAGAAATCTCGCGACTGAGCGTGCGAACAACAGACGCAGACGATCGGCAGACCGAGGATCGCCATGCTCTTTCCTCAACTTTCCTCTCGCAACGCGCTTCGTATCCAACCAGGAAAACGCGATATCTTCTGTTTCCTCAAACCCAACTAACAGAATTCCCCGGTTGAACGCGGGACGCAAACTCGCGAAACTCATCGCGAAAGAAAAGCTGGGAGATCGCGATCTGCCAATCCGTGCGTACGAGATGAACCGCGCTCGTCCCCTGCAAATCGGACGCATCGGTTCGCTCTGATCGCTCCGGGGAAGATCGCTTCATCGGCTGGATGTTATCTCAATATCTTAATCTCAAGAACAACCGATCTCTCGGACTCGCGGACGCCGCGAGCTACAGCTACCGGATGAAGAAAACGTCGTTCTCGCGCGGTTCCGCGCGGCCAGGCTTCGCGAGGTGAGTGAATCGCAAAATCGCCCGCGCCCTTACCGTCCGGTGCCCGTCATCAGCGAGCTGTGGTTCGCGTACGATCCCCCGTAGTAGTACGGCACGTCGTTGTAGTACGGCATCTTCTCCACGGCACTTTATTCCCTTTTGGGCGCGCGAACAGGCCGGGAGGGCACACACCGAGAACCGGGCTCGACCGGGAGCGAAAGAGGGAGAGAGAGAATGATAGATAGATAGAGAGAGAGAGAGAGGGTACGATCGGCGCGCCGGTCGGGGAGACGACTGAACAACTGCGTTGCGGAGGAGTACCTCGGCGCGGACCGGCCGCCGCGAACGCGCCGCTCTTCAGGTGTGCGAGAAGCAGTGTTCTCACGGTTCAGGGAGCCAAGACCAACTGAGTTTAAGCCGGCGACCCGGTGTAATAATAGAATTCTAGTATATGAGGCTTCCCTAGCGTCTAACTATACTACCTAGACTCTAATAACCCGCGGCCGCCGTCGACGGCGGCGGCTGTTACAGCTGGTAATCGCGAACGGTGGAATGCGGCGAGCGAGCTTTCCGCATTTGCTGCTCGCGCGTCGCGTGTACACAATAAATAATCGCCGCGGCCGGCGATGCTGCACGCACTAGTCAGCGCGAGGACCGGCCGGGATGGCTCTCGGGGAAGGCACGAGAGCGCGTGCCACGCAGCGCGATATTTAAACGGCCGCGGTACAGTCGACTCGGAAAGAGACACCGTCCTCGCGTCCGGCGAGACGAGTGAATAGTCGCGGTGCGGACTTGCGGGATTTTTGCGAATTCGCGCAGAGGCTCTCGACTCTTCGTTGATTGATCGACTCGATTTCCTCGAGTCGTGAGCACAAGCTTCGCAAAAACGGAGAAACAATCCCGTCGATTGAGAGCCAGACCGGAAAGTCGGTGGTGGAAATTGGGAGATTCCTGCTGGGGCTTTTCTTCTGGTTTCTATTTGGTTGTAGAAACTAAGATCTTTTTCCGCATACGGAAAAAAATAATTATATTAATAAAAATAATTATATTGATGTATAACGGAATTTCCCGACTCCCGGGGGGATCGGACAAAAATTCGGTTGAGGTAGCAGGAAGATTCCTGGAGGAGGTTTCTACTCGGTCAATCGCTCTCAGTTGTCTCTCTGCCGAGTTTAACGCAGCTGGGGATGTTCAAAAGTATGTTCTCAGTTACGGTAATAGAGATATTCATTTCTTGTCATCGCGTGAGTTTCGATTTCTTGCTACCAACAACATGGGCGTAGCTAAGAGGAGAGGGGGGAGGTAGGGGTAGAAGAGCGCTTGCTCATACCTGAATTTTGGCAAGGAGAAACGAATTACGAAAATCATAAAAGTAAGAAAATGTAACTGACGCGTTGCAATCTGCATTCTACAAGAAAGCTACAATACACGTTCTGTAATTAAAAACCAACGGCAAGTTATATCAGCAACGCTTTGTAAAAATGAATGTAACGAAAAAATTTCTCAATTTCATCACCGGACGTTCCGTCAACCGTAAATAATGAGTATTATTAAAATATCTTTTAATACATTGCAAAGTGTGAAAATTTCGTTGCGGTTAACAATGTCGGAAAATCGTTTCCGTGGACTAAGTATGCTAAGTGTTCACAGAAAAATGATATTTGCGAAGAGAAAGAAGCTGGAAAAAGAAGTATTAAGGAAGTTTTGAAAAAAGGTCCGCGAAGACTGGTTTTCACATAAGTACGCTGATTAATTTTACTTGAAAGTAAATTTCCGCCCCCCTCCTGACGAGAATCCTGACTACACCCGTGGTCGCCGAGTTTTCGTCTTGTCCCTATTCAGTCGCAGAATCTGACATTTTCCCCGCGTGAAGTAATCATCGTCGGATCATCCGTAGAGAAACTTATGCGACATCGCTTTGTTTTCGAGGAAAATCGACAATTCACTCGATCATTAGTATAATTATACCTACACTTTCTCAGCCGCAATTTCGTCCGGATCGTTTCCTTGCCTGCGAATTTTGCTGGGCTCCTCCGGTTTACATTTTTTTTAACCATGCGACAAAATGTCACATAATGTCGCGGATAATTTAAGTGCATCTTCTTCCAAATCTTGGATATCTTGGGATATCATTTTTGTACATTCGCCGCTTTAACGTCGCGATATAAGTGCGATGAAACGGCACGTAAAAACATTCATCGAGCCGTTCGCCGATCGAGCTCAGACCTTGCGTCTGATTCACGGCTCGAGAGATACGTCTTAGGATACGAAAACGCATGCGCACCCGAGAAACATGCAAAAGTACGAGCCCCACGTGCAAGCTGAAACGCGCGTAACAATGCGTTGGGTTACGACATACTCGTGCAATAATGCTAGCTAACTAGAAAGTGTGCGACGCGCGCAGGTGACGCGTCGAGAGGTCGGTGTCACTCGACGGAGACGCGAACCGGGACAACTCGAAGCGATCAAGATGCATCGAAGACCTTCCGAGTCGCGTTGCTATTTAGAGAGATATCTCGGACGACACACACAACGTTTCCCTTACCGTCGCATTTTAAACCCTGCCGGAACAATCCGTACAACAGCGCGCCGCAGTGGTCGCAGAAGGTCGGCGACATGAAAGTGTGTGTTCGGAATCGGTGCGGCACATCTATCTTAAAACGCTCCCTCAGGTACTGCAATAAAGTGGATGAATAATTCATTCAGAGCGGAAATAGCGAGAACTCGACGCGACCGTTTCACATCGGATCGTTGAAACATCCTTGTTTAGTACACACACACCTACATATACATACACAGTCAGCGAATTAAATATGGCACGCTTTTTCTCGATGAGTTTTGCAACGCATCTCGTGACCAATAGCAGAATTTATTTTTTTATAATTCTCGAGAGATACGTTTTCCTATCGATACGAAAATGCGGTTGCGAAACTCATCGTAAGAAAATGTTGCATCTTTAATCTGCTGGTTATATATATATATATATATGTATGTATGTATATATGTATGTATGTGCAAATTAAAATAATCTATCTACGAATATTGAAACTTTCGTGGACACTTACTATCGTATTTTCCGATTCCCTGCCGCTTTCGGGACATTTCGTCAATAATTTGTCGTGACACTTCTTGTGCACCGCCGTTTGACACGCTGCAACAAATCAGAAAATCATCCTGTAAGTTCCGTCAAATTAGATTAGATTAATTTCATTAATTTAAATTCAAGCTTAACGAATCAAATCAACGAAGTGCGTGAAATGAGGGAACACGCGGGATTGAGCGCTTACCTTGGCATTGGTACCCCTGCTTTCCGAAGCCCCTGTAAGACACAAAAACAGACTATCAAGAAACGCTTTCTCACTGATTTGAAGTCGAAGAGAGTGGGATGAATAAATAACAAAAGCCGCGTCGACGACAGTGACAAAGTAGTTTCGAAGAAACGCGAATTACCATAAAAAGTCCTTGCAGAAAGTGCAGAACGTCGGTTGCCTGAAGAACTTCGCCACGAGCTTGTGACCGCGCACAACGTGCACCTTGTTGTGCTTAACGGCGCCCCTCCTTCTCGTGATGGCGCGTCCGATGTTCTTGTTTTCCCGCGACGGGGACATCGTCGCCGACGACGCGGCGTCCCTCCGAGGAACTCGGGTCTTGTAGACATAGGTCTTGCTCGTAGCCGAGGTGGTCGGCGGCAGCTCCGTGGGATTCAGGAACGTCGGTACTCTCGTCCTAAAAACGTCATTTGATCACCAAGACATTTCACATATTCATGCTCTACGGGGTTGGGAAGATTTTTGTTCTTTTTAATATTTCGACTCGCAATCGTTATTTGTCATTATTCCAGAAAGAGAGCTCTTTACTGTTACTAATACTTGGAAAAATAACTCTTTAATTTGTAATTCTGACATTTTGCAAAATAATTCATTATTTTATAAATGGTTCTGGTATTTTAAAAAGTAACCTATTATTTTTCACAAAGAATTATGATATTTGAAAAATAATTCGGTGTTTTATAAGTAGCTCCGATATTTTGTAAAAAGAAGCGTTATTTTGTAAATAATTATGATACTTTGAGAAGTAACTCGTTACTTTACAAATATCTCCGACATTTTGTAAAAAAGAAAACTCGTACAAATAATTGTATTATTTTGCAAAACAACTCGTCGCTTCATAAGTAGCTCTGATATTTCGAGAAATAATTCGTTACTTCATAAAAAAAATTGCGATACTCGGAGAAATAACTCGTTACTTTATAAATAGCCCTGATATTTGGCAAACCGATTCGTTACTCGAAAAGCAACGAGTCGTTGCAACTTCCGTTATTCGGCGAATTTCGAAGAGAAGAGATTTCCTCGGAACACTTTTTCATACAGCTCGCCCATCCCATCCACCTGTATTTCACCGGTTGCTTCGCAACGATTATTACTCGTCACCATTATTCGAGAAAAATCCACTAATCGCGCTGCCATTATTAAGGGAAAAAAAAGAAGAAAAAACCATATCCCGGAGCCTCTCGAGGGAGCGTGATCGCGCCTGGCCGCGACTTGGTGGACTTTTACATACCGGGCAGCTCACCTGTACGTGTATCCTTCGGTGCCGGCGCGCGCCGAGGAGTTCCGGTGGTCCAGCAAGGCCTTCCTGCTGGAAGTCGAGCCGCCACCGCTACCGCCGCTTCCGCCGCCGGCGTTCCGCCTCTTGGCGTGCGAGCCACCGGTGAACATCATTTTCGGCAGCTACCAACCGCAACCACCGGTCCGTCGACTGCTCGTCCTCGGCGGTATCACCCTCGTCGCGCATCAACGTCGTCGCACAGCCGCGGCTTCTCCCCGAGCAGCGGCCGATCGCGCCGTGACGATCGGCGATTCATCACGATCCTCCGCGATGATCCTCGCGACCGCCCGCCCCCAACTCGATCCGGATATCGTCGCGGACGAAGCGGCCGGATCGCGGAAAGAATTGCCGCGAAACTACTCGAGTCACTATAAATAAATATAGCCGGCGGTTTCGCGGTTCACCGGCCAGCGTGCCGATTCACCTTACGGCCGTGTTCCACCGGGAATAATCGCTCATCGCGCGTCGACGTTGAGAGAGAGAGAGAGAGAAAGGGAGGGGAGGAGAATGCGAGATAGATGGATAGATAAAGATAGAGAGGCAGGTAAATGGAAAGAGGGAGATCGCAATGAGCGAGACACACCGGCCGCGTCATCCGTGGCGCGCGAAAGTGTCGCGAGAAATACGCTTCCGGCTGTCAAGTTCGTCGCATCCTCTTCCACCTACGTCCAGCGGCGCGTCCGAGAGCGTGCCGCTCGCGCGGCCGTGTGCGCCGCGGTGTTATATTTTTGGGAAAATTAGGAACGCCGCGCGAGCGAGAGAGATAGCGAGAGAACGATAGCGACGGGGCCCGCGTTTTTGGCCAGTCCTGAGAATCCGACGTGAATCTCTCTCTCTCTCTCTACTTCTCGGACGCGCGCGTTCCTCGAGGATTAATAATCCGTCGGTGTTTCGTCGCGACACTCGCGGTTGTCCCTCCGCTTCCTCGCCTCTTCCTCCCCCGTCGAAGGCGGAGGGACCGCTCCTCCTCTCGAAGACTTCACTCCTCTCGACGAGGACGTTTCTTGAAGAGACGAGAATCACAGCCGACGACGAGAGCGCGCTCCGAGAGCTCTCTCTCTCTCTCCTCTGCAAAAAAGACAAAGCGTCTTCAGCCGCTGTCGCGGAGTCCGCGGAAAAATTCGAACGGTTTTAGTCGTCGTCGCGAGAAAACGAGGCGACGGTTTCGCAGGTCCACCTCTGAAACCACGGGAACCACCGGTGGTCTGATAACTCGGCGGCGAGAGGAAGCCGACGCGGGCGGAAGCGCCTCGTTCCTTGACGGAGCGCGTCGTCGTCCTCGAGGACGAGAATCGCCAGAGACGCGCCTCGGGCGCGTCTTCGGCGAGGGGAGACGCGACGTTCCGCGTGAAACCGGGACGCGCGCGTCCCCGCACGTGACTATCTATAGATCGAACAAAATGATATTGACCCGCTTTCCGGCCCCGAGCGATCATTCCGCGCGGCGGAAGCCGCGGGCGCTCCGCGCTGCGACTGCTATCTGGACGGTCTCCCTTTTCTCTCGTCTCACCCTTTTCTTCCCTTTCGTCCAGGCAAGTTTCTCTCTTCGGCGGTCCTCGCAGAGCACAAAGCGGAATCGCTCGCGCGCGGCTGGCGTCACGGCCCGCCGTCGTCGCCGTCGCGACGCGCCGACGGTGTCCAAAGTCGCACGACACCACGGGAGAGCGGCAGAGCGCGTTGACCACGGGACCGACGAGCGGTGGCTCTCGACCAGGGTGTCGCACCAACGACGGCGGTAGCTCTCTCTCTTCTTCTTCTTCTCTGTCTCTCTCTCTCTCTCTCTCACGTTAGAACTCGCGTGATTTTCCGGGCCGGGCCGATCGTGTCCGCCGCTCGGAGAGAACGGAGATTCCCGCCGAGATTCGGCCGGATCGCGTTCGGGATCGCGTCTTCGTGTCGTCGCGTTGACCAATCGCGCGCCTCATCCGTCGAACCCGCCGGATCGCGGCGCGTATACTCCGCTGACAAACGCGGCCACTGGATTTTGACGCCTAAAGCGTTGGTAGATTTTGCAGGAAACTCCGATCTATAAATATCAGCCTGTTGAATGCCGCCCGCCGTAGCGTCCGCCCCGACCGTCGCGCCAGCTGCGCCAAATATCGCGAGGCTCGCAGATCGGCCCGGTGTATTTTCCAGGCTGGAAAATGGGAATCGCCACGCGTAAACAGCAATAACGTCTCTCTTCCTCTCTATCTCTCTCTTCCGACGTCCGTATCTCTCCATTCCTCTCGACGGCGCGCGCGATTCCCGCTCGGCTATACGCGTTTCGCAAGCCGATGCCGATGGTATCCGACGTGTAAGAGAGTGAGAGAGAAAGAGAGAGAAGGAAAGAGAGATAGAGACAGCGATCTGTCTTCAAGAGCGCTTCGTGCAAGGCCGATCCCATCTTCAAACTGTACATCTTTCTCTCTTTCTCTCGCGTACGCGAGGATCGCGAGTCACTCCGTCCGCCTCTGAGAAAACGAAAGATCAATTTGCCTCGCTATGTTGCTGCACCGATATATTTTCCTCTTTTTGTTTTCTTTTTTTCTTAGGCGGAGGCGAGAGAAACAGAATAGATAATCGTTAGCCTGGGATTACCCCCACTTGGTACAAAATGAAATTAACATAATATAATATAATATATCAATGTATGTAGACGCGAGTAAAAAATAGAAATATATGAGGAAACGTTAGGAAAGAAAAATAAAATGAGAGAGAGTGAGAGAGAGAGAGAGAGATGATGCGCCGTGCAGCTGTTTATCTCAAGGAATGATAACGCACACCAACGCGCGAATCGAAGAGGAACGCGATCGTCAAATGTATATTCCCTAAAAATAAATGGCCCAAAGCGGCCTCGAATAGCCCGTGATCTCACTGTTCTGAACTCGATTTATTGTCCATTCTAACGTACTGACAAGCCGTCTTACACAAGAGAGAGGGACGGACTGTGTCGTACCGCGGACAAAGAGTGGATCAATCGCAGTTCCCATCAACAGATCCGTCCCGACGCTCGTTGCGACCAACGTGCGATTTACAATGTATTTTCCCCGCGTCCCGTTGCACCGATGCGAAATTTGTAAATTCATCGGTAATCGTGAGGTATAAGTAAAAACTTGAGTAACGGCCGTAAAAATATCTTCGTGTCTTTTCTTCTCTCTCTCTCTCTCTCTCTCTCTCTCTCTCTCGCTCTCTACCGAGGATTCCATTCGTTTCTCTCGCTGAAGATCGCACTGCAGAAACGGCGTGAAACTTCCTCCGGACTTTGCATGCCCGGGGCTTATGCAACGTGCAGAAAGAGGATCGAGGGGCCTTCGTTAGGTAAACATCGTGCTCTGGGTGAAATCAGAGATTCGGGTTTAAGAATAGCCGATCAGCCGTGATGCGCGCAGGACACAAAATAAGGAAGCGTCGCCGAGTCTCTCTCTTCCGCCATCGCATCAGTCCGCGCGAGGATTTTATTTACATCTAAAATGAAACACAGCGTCTTTATAATTGTAGTAATAATAATATATCTAAGAGAATATAATAATAATAATTATTATTATTATAATTATAATATACATTAATAATGCCGTTGTGTGCTGTACGTTCCCAGAAACCTTCCTCCTAGATTAAAATTACACGCGACAATGACGACACGCTGCTAATGAGCGCGCGCGCACACGCACGCGCGACTCATTCCTCTCCAGCCGCCTCTCTTCGCGCCTTAAGGATAAATACTATGCTCAAAGCTATCGAGTTAGATCTATAAGATCGATCAATTGTGACGCATCACCGTTTGGAAAAAAAAAAAAATAGCTCGCTGTGACGACGCATCGCACATGCACACGGTCCGCGCTATAATGCGATATATAAACTTATGTCCCCGAGTTCCTCGAGACGATATAACGCCGTACGTAATATACGCACGTCGTAATTCCTCCCTTTCCTTCTCTTCCTTTCCGTTTCTTCCTTCGCAGAGCGATGATGCTCCACAACGACTAACACAGTACTAGTTACTTTACAATCCTTCTTCTTCGAGACTTACTTGTAAGTTGATAATTATTTTATTACGCTAACCTCTTAAAAATCGTTACCTAGCTCCCGTTAACACACACGCACACACACACACACACATACACACGCACACGGACGCACCTTCGCGTTTGTAAGAAACGTCGATGAATTTCAAATAAAAGAACGTCAATTGGGAATGATTGCAGACAGGCTTTCGTTAGACAAGTTTTCTCAGGGAGGGACGGG